GGAAAAGTAGTGGATAGCTGATTGCATCATACGGGTATGGCAGGCAAATCAACAAGTAATGCATTTATGCGAAAAATTCGATGCTGAAACTAGAAGGAGATACTCATGCGGTGCAAATCGAAAAAACCTCGATCACGCAAACCTACGCTCATCTTCCGCCTCCATTCAGTACTACGCAAAATGTTTTTTCTTTCCTTTTCTACCTTCCAGCAACAAGTTTAACAATTACACTGACATACCACAGAAGAATATTGGAGCGCGTTGTGCTGATGTTTCCAGTCCATTTGGGGGGGAAGATCGTGTCCCTCTTCACCTGCATCAGACAGTTCTTCTGTTGACGATTCGTCCTCCGCGTCGAAGTCACTCGGATCTTCCAGGGTGTCCGAATCCTCACTCCGAAACGCGTCGAAAAAAGAACTCGAGTATTCCTGTTCGCCTTCGACGTCCATCGGTAAGTAATCGTCTTCCGCCTGTGGTTCCGGAGGTGACACCTCTTCTGACTCGGAATCGCTGTCATCGCTGGCTTCCTCAGCTGCTGCGCGGGGCGGACGACTCCGAATATAAATTCCGGAGTCCACGAGATCGCCTCGGTTTACTAGGACTGCAGTCACACTCGGTGTGTTTCTCTCGGTCTTCACGGTTACGCACTGTACTTCGCCCGGCGCGAACCCGGAGTTAGTGAGTGCGTCGTAAATAGCCTTATACACGGGCGACGCTTCCACCAAAAATTCGATGAAGCTTTTTTTGATTGCCGCGTAGTCGCGACGTTGTGCAGCAGCTCGACTCTCCCTTTCTTGATTGTCCTGCATTACGACATCCTCCTCCGCCTCTGTCTGGATCCAGTGGCAGTATAAAGGGTGACGCGCCTATAAACCGAAATAGTCACCCCAATCAAACACGGATCACATACACGCTTTTTTTACCATTGTCGATGCAAATCATATAAAATGCCCATCACCAGAAAATGCACCGCAGCACCTCGGAGGTGACTTATGGGTCGCCACAACTCCTAACTGCATACTTTTTTACTCTGCATAGTCCTCCGTGTCCTATGTCCGCTGCAGGCAAAGTCGTTCTTCGTGTCGAGGTGACAACATTTTCTATCGTTAATTCGTCCCAGTAGCGGATTACATCCGCATATCGTCCTTTGAGGGTTACATTTGATTCGTCCCAGTGCACCTTCTTCATGTTTCCCAGCCGTACTGTCAGTCGACTGTCTCGATTCAGTTTCCGCATGATCGGAAATTTGTACGTTACTTCGTGGTCCTCTGCGCGTCGAAGAAGCTTCTGGACTGTAAAAGTGTCCGCTTCAGAAAGATTCGGAAACTTGCAATGCCAATTTTCCATGTCTCATGCTGTATGTTATGAGTGTCCTGCCCTACGACATTCTGTAAGACCTACAAGATGCCGATCCTGCATGTCTACCGCCCCTCTTCGGTACATCATTAGTACTTACCCTTTTTCCCGTTCACGCAACGTATTGCGGTGTGAAGATGACCTCCGAGCATAAAATCTGTTGCGGCGGTTTTCTAAACGGAAACATTTTTACATTTGCTAAAGCTCATACCATCGCGCCTGTCGGGCACGATGAAGTGATCCACTCTCCGTGTACCATCGGTGCCACCGCTTTACCGAAATTATCGTTAGGAAAAAATCCCACCTCTGTATATCGCCAAAGTCGCGACTCATGACATTGATGTGCATATCCAAAAAAGTCCAGCCTAAAACTCCTCAAGTCAGGCGTCGTATACACCTGTCATCCTCTTCAGCCGGACGAATCCGATTCGTGTGCGAAAATCGTACCCCAGAAACTTCGTTTCGATAAGGAGAAGGAAGATTTTTTCCCTCGATAAATATCCCCCGTCCACTGCAACACATGCCGGAGGTCTCACCCTCCAGCAGACCGAATCCGCAACCTTCAGGACATGGGGTAAAAAGCGGCCGCGTGCCAGTCGGAGTCGGCACTTCTTGGCAGTACTCCACCTCCTCTTCCACTTCTCCTTCCGTAGCGATACGCATTTTGTACTTCCCCTCCAACGTGTTTCCCGGGAGTTTCACATCTTTTCGCGATGCAAACAGGCATGCGTCGCATCGTGTTTATGCAGTGAGTTTCGTTCCAGCGGTCTGCTCAATAGAGGGACTTTTTCTCTGTGCGAAGCGATGGCTCGCACTGATCAAAGCCTACCCGCGACAAGTTGAAGCATTCCATGAGCTACATCGAACTGCGAGACTGTGCACGGAAGACATCAGCCGAGAATATGTCAAAGGTTGCCCGAAAAATACAAACTGTAGTACAGCATGTGGTCGATGTTTCTGATTTATGCATTACAAATTTCTATCCGCGTGACGAAAGCAACACCATAGAGGATGATAACAGCCGAAATCCAACCTCCTTCTGCACGGCTTCCCGAAAACTTGAATTGGGTAAGTGTTTTGCGCATTCAAAACATTCGATCGGAAGTCCGCGGTGGAGTCGGCAGAATTCGTGTATGCAGTGTCGTATTGTTACGCCCTCCGTGCCTGTACAGTCAGTAGTGCTACCGCAAGAAGAAATACGTTACGACTGTCCATGGCGGACAGCTTCAAACTCATGTCCAGACGTGATTGAGCTCTTCAGGTAAAACAAGTTCAACCTACACTCCGGACACAACCTATTTTCATGGTTGTTGGAGAGTGTTCCTCGGATTGAGCCCCTCAACATGTTTCCTCTGCCGGCGGGGCGGCGATCATTAAACATCCTGAAGAGCGTAACAACTTCATCATCATAATCGAAGGCGGCTCTAATTTCCCGTCCGCATCCTTGCGCCGCAAAATTATACGATTGCATTCGCGAGTCTTCGGCCGAGCCGTTATGGATGTCTCAGAGTTGAAATCGACAAAATTGAAGTACTTTGTCATGCATAAAATGGATGAAAGTTGTGACCCAGTTTCCAAGTGGCGCATGACCAATTTGGGCAGAGCCGCAATCCAGTCTGTCATGCTGTTTGGGTAAGAAAGACGCGTTCTGTCATGCTATTTCAGCAGCTCAGTTTCTACCCCACAACCGGCTTACAATATACCTCACTTGCATACTCTGCAAGGCAGGCACCTTGAGGGCTGCACTTTGTGCATGACAAACTATTTCAACTCTGACGATTTCAAACCTGACGCTTCCATAGCCGTGGCGTCCCGTGTACAAGAAATTGGGGGGTCGAGTTCGACCGCGCATTTTTATTAAGTGCAAAAGTCGTCATCGTGGAGCAATATCATTTTGATCTTGGTACGTGACCACGCTCGGCGACTGGCGATATTCTCCGTCCATTCACTTCACACCAAAATCCGGCCCATGTACAGATCCCACCAACTACATGCAACTTTTCTTTGTCGCCATTCATGCATGCATCAAGTGGTATACTCCACGACGACCTATTTTTCTCAACGATAATTTGCATCGCCGCACCATTCCGTGCCGCCCGGGTTACTCAGTCGCTCTCCGCGTATAGAATAAACTGTAAATATTACACTTGCGGTCTAATCAAATAGAGTCACCTGAAAAATCCCCGTGCTAAAAAAATTGAAAGCCTAAAAGTATGCTTGCATTTGTTTACGATTGTCCGATTGTACAGAGTTGTGACTATCTATTCCGCAAATATTTTACGTAGCCGCGATCGATTGATAAACGTTGATAAAGTTCCAGAACTCCCTATAAAAAAAGTCATAATTTTTTAAACTACGATGGACTCGAAGACGTCACTGGGTGGACCGCAGGTGAAAAAACTTTCAGTACAATCGACCCGAGTGAAAAACTGTGGCGTAGAAAAATCCAGATTCATTTTTTCATTTTTGCATCATGAACTCACTATTTGAACATAATTTCTATGACGATCACTAACTGCATTCGGATACTATGACGTTGCACGACAATCCCACCCCGATCTTAATTCCGTCTATTGTACGACAACCCCATCACGATCAAAATTTCTTCTGTCGTACGACAGTCTCCCCACGACCTGACGTTTGTCGTGCACGACGATCATATGCGATCACTGTAGATCCTACATTTTTTCATATATTGGTGAGTGGCTCCAATTTTGATGCGTGAGCAACAATTTCCGGATCTATACATTTACAACATCAGCGATTGATCAGCACTTCACCCATCTCGACCTGCTCGAGATCATCAGTATCCTGTAATTCGTGCTGTTCGCGTCCTTGATTCCTCGAGGACGTCACATACGCGGCGAACAAATCTTTCCGTGTAAGTCGTGCGCGTCTCATATCATCCGTTCTAATTGCAAATTTTCGTCGTACATTTTTTGCACCGTGTGGACATTACTACAAAATTTTTTATTCACATACTGGACAGCTGTAGTCCAGTTCGGCGACATGTCGAACCAGAAACTTCATCTTTTCCGCTTCAGAAACATAATGAGTATATCATTACAACCATCCGTGGACACTGCAAGACCCAAAAGACGTTTTTTTTGTTCACCACGTTTGCCGGCTGATTCCCGTCTCTTGATCGACCCCGTTTCCCTGTTCGCACAACGCACCGATCCCGTGATGATTTCTGTTTTTTAGTATTAGAATATCGATTTTTCCTTCGCGACGACGTGGTGCTACGTGGTCAATTCAAAATTCGCTGCAACCTACGCCGAACGTACTACACTGTAGTGCAAAAATGCTTATTGTCTTATAAATTTCTTCATACCTGTTGTGTGCCACATCGAAGACAGACGTCGAACGCATTCTCTTTCGATCGTGATCGTTTCGTCAGCTGCCGTAGCAGTAGCTTCCACCAGTCTGCAAGCAAGCGGTGAGGAGAGACGCACAGGTTGGCATGATGTCCGTCAGTCAGTCTTCAAGCAGGTGTCGTACGCTACACGAAGTAGTCCTTCGTCGAGCACGACTCAGCACCTCGACGTCGCCACGAGGGGAAAACGAAGTACCGGCAGCGTGCACCGTCGGGCTAGAGCGAACCGCGGGCGGAGAAGAATTTTCCACAAAACTGAACCTTCTAGCGCAAGTTTGCGATTTCACACCCAGCGGGCGAAGCTATTCGATTCTCGTTACCATCTAGTACTTCTTCTTCGGCCCCCGCCGGGGCTTGTTCCTCCTTTCGCATTCTTTCCTTCTCCTTTTGGACGGACTGGTTGGTGAATTGCTTAACCAACTCATAGTACCCCTTCGGATCTTCTATTCTTTTTTTTACAAGCTTATCCCGCAGACGGAACCCGGGGAGTCGACTCACTTTCACGCGCTCCATGTTGTTGTTGTTGGCGCCATCAGCATCTTCCTCGTTGTCAGCATCCTCGCCCTCTTCCTGATCATCGCCCTCTGCGTTGACGTTTTTTCTCACGGTTTTGAAATTCTTCGCCAGAAACTCCTCGCGGTCGGCGAGCGCTTGAAACGCGTTCTTGGCCACGAACACTCCGTCCCGGCAACCCCAGGGCTCCACCTTTTGACAAAACCGCAAGGCCAGCAAAAAAGCTTTTGTTGATATCCCAAGACTGGGACGCCGTCATCATATCCACACACTATGCAAGAAAAAAACTGTGTAAGTGTAACTCTGTAATGCAGAACATGCAACAGAGGTACACCTGTCATGCCGCACAACCACGAAGTCCTCTTTTCACGAGTGTTTTCCCTTGCAAGCCACGCATGACAGGTTGTCTCTGTTGTGTAGAGCAAATTTGTGATGCTGTCAGCCAAGGAAAGTTACACTAACACAGTTTTTTCCGTGGATACACATTCAGAAAAGTACATCACTAGAACGCAGACAACAAGTAGAAAAAAATATCCTGAGTAAAAACGTACCCACACCAGAGTTGTAATGCAGATTTGCAAAGACAGGAAGACTTGTAATGCGCATCCGCATGAGAGCCATTTCCAATCGTGTTTTGGAATTTGTGATGCTGTGAACAGGATGAGCAGATGAATCTGTGATGCGGCTGCACTTGCTAACCTGCACTACACTACAGAGCGCAACTTGTCATGCGTGACTCACAAAACTCCTAGGTTTGTGTTGCAAAATCCCCATCCTGACTCTGGTGTGGGTACGTTTTTACTCAGGATACGGGCGACTCCGCAGAATGGCTTCATTCCTCTCCTGCGCGTCTTCCACCTCCTGCTCCTGCTGTCCTTGTTGCCCGAGAAGGCCGGGTTGGTCCGGATTTTCATTTTCGTTTTCACCTACGCCTCCATTATCGTCTTGTTCTGCATTCTGGGTGCTGTTTTGATCCTCTTCCAGATCGTCGAACATGTGGTCGCCGTTGACGAAGTATCCAGTGCAAACATAATGTCGGGGTTCGGAAAAATGCAGAAGTCCATTTGCTTCATGCCGCTTGCGCTTTATGGGATGGAAGACAAAGCATTACTACAGGTTTTGAAAATCATGCTTCGCCATGCCCGTCCCGCACGAGATAATCATTCTCATACATTAACGTTACAAAAATTTTCACAGATGCTATATGCTGTTCTACTTCATGCAGCACAAATTCTTCTGTGGCCAGCTAGACCACCTTCTTCTAGCATTACAAGCTAAAGTTGCAAGGTTCCAGACCCAGACGTGTTTGCAATTCTTAGGAAGTTGCAGTTCCGAATGCAGTGCGCGTCGTCGAAACAAACGATGCCCGTGCCGGAACTCCTAGTATTACCACCCTTCAATATCAAAAGTAAAAATGTCTGGGTCTGGAAACTTGTGACGCTGGGCGGCGTCTCATGATGAGGCTACAAATGCTGGCTCAGCGTGACAAGTTTCTGAGCTCCTAGGTGTTGCCTATTCTGCATGACAAACTGCGCTTCTGCATCACAGAAAAACGGAGCTCTTGGGTAACGTGCATGACAGATTTAAGAGTCATGCCAGACAAGCATGACAGCCATGAATTCTTCCAGACCCAGACATTTTTACAATTGATATTCAACCACTTCCGGAGCAGCAAGACACTGGATTCGGCGGAATTCGCGCCAAGTTGACCGTACTCAACGATGAGCACATTAGCTTTTTCGACTTGGTCCTGCAGGTCGAAAAACTGCTGTTCCTCCTCTTTCTGGTTCTTGTCCTGTTCTACTTGCACTAGTGCATCGGAACTTTTCTGGTCCGGTTTTTCGTGCTCATCTTCCGCTGCGACAGGATCCTGATGATTAGAGCGATTTTCAAAATTCTATTCACAAAGCCATCATGTCAAGGAAAGGTAAAGCTATCAATCTACGCGTATCAAAATAGTTCCCTGCGCTTTGGTGCTGGGAGCCGATGAAGCGTCGACTGTTAATATCACTACATAATAAAGTACCACTACCTCTTGCTCTATCTACGAAAGACACAAAACCATACATCAGTTTCATGGGATAAAACAGCTTGAAGAAGATACTGAAACTTGAATAAATACCAGTTGCGTTGTATCTCCTACGTCCTGAGTCTCGTTTTCTGTCTCGACGCCACCAGTGGCGGCCGTGCTTTTCGTGCTCTTTTTGGAGTCGGTCCTCTTCTTCGATTTGCTTTCCCTCCTCCGCCGTTCTCTCCGCTTTTCCTCCAACAAAATCGCCTGCTCGAAGGTTGCGACATTCAGGCGCGACGTGGACCTGCCGAGCAGGTCGTCCGAATTGTTCTTGATGTTCTCCCCGTCGTCTTGTTGTTGTTCCTCCTCAGCGTCAGCCATAATAACGTCTTCGCCCCCGTTTTTGAATTCATCTTCATCGGGCTTCGGATCATCATGCCCACTTAGAAAATTCAGATCCTTTTTCGCCTTCTCGATGGAATTCGCTTTGTGGACGAACAGGAGGTGGCGGTCGGCTCGCCCACTGTTGCAGCAATGCAGGAACAGCAATGCAAGCTGCTTCGTTCTGTCCAGCGTATCCTCGTCTAGCAAAAGGTAGGACTGCGGAGAAGAGGCTGTAGTTTTCATTTATCAATTTTGTGATTGCCACGACAAGTAAAAACACTGTTGGGCTTTGTGCTCGTTCTCTTTATGAAAAGCACTCAACTGAAAACATCACCCGCCAGAGAAGACGACGGCATGCACGCACACAGGACTTCTAGAACAAATGTTTCAAGCTACCTTTCACATTCTCCCCGTTTATTTTCCCCGGCTTGTAGTTGTTGCGCTCGTCGTATCCTCTGGCGCAGGTTAAAGCCATGTAGGTGGCGTTTTCGACCATGTATGGTGCGCATCGCTGCAATGTGGGCCCTTTCGGCACGCACAACACAAACTCTGCCGGAACGCGCGGAAGTTCGATCTCCAGCGTCGCTTTCGGGAGCGTGATGTGGTCGTCCGGGGTGGTGCAGATCTCCTGCAGCAGCTCCTTGATATGCATTGCAAAAGTATCGCACAAAGTATAAATTGCATCACAAATTTTGGCAAGAAGAAAAGTGGAATTTGTAATGCTGTTTTACCTTGGGAAAAATATTTGTCGTGCACATTTGCAATTAGTACGAGTACGATACTTTTGCACAGGATACTTGAATTTCGGATACGATACATCCTTGAGAGGCAGTGCAGCGTCCTCTTCCGGCGGCAGCAGCGTCTCCTCTACCTGCACTAGTTGTACCTCGCCGCCGCCGGCCAATTTCGCAAAGTGCAAAAAGTTGTCGTCTGCCGCTGGCATTTTCAAGTTGCTCTTCTTCTTGTGTCAAACATAACACGTAGTCGTGTGTGTAGTTATTTTTTTTTTCGGGGAGGGGACGAGTGGGGAGGTAACGTGTAGGGGGATGGAATTGGAAACGGCTCGTATACGAAATAATAGTTTTGATTTTTGTTACGTAAGCCAGAAGAGAAACTCAAAGTTCGTGATTTTTGTTGAATGTAAATAAGTAAATCATGTCGCCAAAAACGTCGTAGTAAATTTCTACTCAGTGTCAGTGTTTGTCGCTGTGAGTTGTAAATTAGAAATGTTGTCTATAACATTGCCTCTTTGAAGAGAAGCAAGCTACCAATTGACAAGCCGAGAAGGCTCTTTCATTACAGTTAAAAGTGTTTCACAGTCCGGATTTGCGCACGAAGTTCGCCTTGAAGATGGTAATGACAAATAAGCAACAAGCAGGATACAGCCACACGTTCGTAGTTGACGCAGAACCACTTGTGCTGGGCTGACCTTCTCACTTCCAGAAAGATCATCCTCACGTTGTGTCAGATCTTCGCCGTGTAGGTATGGCATCAAGTAGAACTGCAAACTGCTTGATCTGAATCACAACTGCACGACATGGATCGTTCTTCTGTACACCAGAACGAGCTTGATCAGCGTAGTTCTTGGTCTACCATCTACAACTTCATCTGGCACGACATCACAAACCGAAGATCAGCACGGGATCGATGAGAAAACGATCACGATGCGGCTCAAGTCATCGCCACTCCGGATCCACCGGGAAAAACTGATAGGCCGTATCCCCCTCGTAACTGATTGCATGACGCCCAACATTGCCAGTTTCGCCTTGTCTGCGCCGCCATGTTGGTGCAGCTCGTCATCTGTGAAGACGAATGTCAACTGCTTCTGCCCCCGAGCATCGACATCAATGCTGAGCCTCTGCAACGCGGAGGCGACCTCCCGCTCCTTCTCTGTTCCCGTTTCCGAGGATCTGCGCAGGCCATACGGAGTCCCGACGAGGTACTGCTTGAATGCCTTGGTGTACTTATTCATGAGGCCGTTGTTTGCTTCAGGTGGCAGCAGCAAAAGCTGTCGATCTGGGCCGACCGGCACGTGCAGACGGGAGGGCAACTCCTGCATGATCTTGGCCTGCACCGAAAGCTGATGGTTGCCAACCAGTCGCCCCACAGCGTTCACCTGCTTCTCCCATGCGACCGGATCCGCCCCCACCTTCAATAAATACAGATAGGCTCCCTCCTCCAACGATGTTCCGACTCCATGCTGCTCGCAATGGGAAGGAAGGGGGACTACGTGGCAACCGGGGCCAGGCTTGCTGGTCCCCCGGGAGAAGTCGACGGTAAGTGCCTCGCTAGTTTTCGGGCCTGTGCTTGCGGCGTTATTATTTCCCGACGGTGCTGTTAACTTTCCGCGACCGGCCGCGAGTAGGCTTGTTGAGATGTGGGTCAGAACCATATCTGCCAGAAGTAGCAGTCCGGTCCAATCGCAAGGACGCCCGCCTGCATTTTCGAAAAATGTTGCGCCACTGCCTAGTGCTGTAGCTGCAATGAATCCATGCGAAGAAGAGCGCTGGCATCGCCCTGTTTGTTTCACGTCTGCTTCGGTCGGGTCCAACTCCAAACAGTCGCATCATGAAGCTTGTTCTGCATGCTCAAGACCGCCCCTCTTCGCATACTGCGGGTTGAGCAAAATGCTGACGCCCCTCCCGTGCCGCCGGTGCTCGTCCACTTCCAGTCCAAACCGCTGCTCGTACTTCGTCCTCCGTGATGCGCTCCTTGGATTCGGTTGGAAGGCACTCGATACCAGCTTGACTGGCTTCGCGCGGGGTATGCAATCGATTCAAGTGGCTGCAAAATTACTGCTGTGCTGTCGACACATAGATAAATACTTTTATTTATAAGTGGATAATTTCTGATGCTAGGTAGACATAAAAGCGTGATGGTCGAGGGTGGTGTTGGTGGACGAGGAGAAAGAAATTGCGATCGCAGGCCGCCCCGCCTAAAGGTTGGCGTCGGTTCTAGAAGCTTCTTCGCGATGGCGCCCCGATTTGCCTCACCCTGTATCTATGCTGGTTCAGCTGCAGGTGATCGCAACTCTGGTCAGGATGTTGAAGCTTCTGTGCATAGAAGCCACACGCAGCCCCGGATACGGTTTCCTCCTAATCGTGTGAACAAAATCCTCCTCAAGCAGCGCCCTAATAACCCAGTCATGTTGTGCGGAATCTTCGTGTCCGACTGCTATGCAAATTCCGCAAAAATAAACGGATTTTCGAAAACCCTTACATTTTGAATTCAGTTTGAAATCATTTTGAATTTATTTTTACACCGGGCGGTCCAGCGTTAACTACAACTTCATCTGGCACGACATCACAAACCGAAGATCAGCACGGGATCGATGAGAAATGCGCGGGCGGGCCGGGGTGCCTTGCAGGACCTGGTTGTAGTGGAACATAATCGTAGCGTGGTAAACGTCCTGCAGCTCCACCTCGGTGGCTTTGATGTCGGCGTCAAGTCCTGCTTTCCACTCGTTATACTCGAGCCGCTTGCGTGGTACGATGAAGCCGTAGTTGTCCCGCTCCACGACGTGGCTTACCCATCCCTCAGACTCCCCGCTGGAGCAAACTCGCCAGTCTGGGGCCGGAATGTCAGTGCGGATCTCACGCCGCTCCGGCTTGCCACCCCGCTTGCCGTTCCCTTTCCCCCCTCGCCTTCCTCTTCCTCTCCCCGGGCGCTCAATCTCCTCATCTCGACGGGCAGATGGAGGTCGGTGCGAGGCGTTGTTGCTGTTGTTGCTGCTGCTCCCCTGCACCTGGTAGTGCGGATGCCCTCGGCGGGTTGGGCTGTGGTAGTTGTCTCTGTTGCTGTCAAATCCACCTTCCTGCTGGTCACGGTCACCGTGGTATCTGGTTCCACGGTCACCCTCCCCACGTTCATGGTGTCGCCAATCGCGGTCGTTCGAGTGGTCGCGGCCACGGCCACCTCTGGCTTCGTTGTAGCGGTCGTTCCCGTCGTACCAGTCGCGCCCCTGTCTGCCGTAGCCTCGCCCCGCGTTCCCGCTCCCTGCGGCTCTGCTCCAGTCGTTCTTGTATCGTCCGCCCCCCATGCTCGTATCAGGGTTGGGGGCAGGTCCGCAGAACTCTGTGTTCTGCACTGAAGCTTGTCTTTTCGGGGAGGGGGTGGAGATGTCTATTACGGACACAGGCTGCGATCGCTGGGCTGCCCGCGACGACCCTGTTGTTGCTAGGGCGTAGGAGGATGACGACGGACCAGCTACAAATCTGTTGTTCAGGTCCAACAACGTAGAGTCTACGTTCCGCCGTACAGCTGCTTGCGGGAAAACAGTTTCGTCGCGAAGCCACGGACTAGCGCTGGCACAGGTGCCTTTAGCCTGGAACAGCGGTATCGACGACTCCGGGCGATCGTCCTGCTGGCCCGCCCAGCTGCTCGATGGTCCGAAGCGCGCGGTTAGCGTTGATCTCCTGTTCTTCGTGTCGTCGCTAATGTTCATTGCAACGTCGCCCGAAGCCGGAGACATGGCAACGGGCCGTGACGCGCATATCGCAGTGTCGAGGCGTCTGCTTGATACGGAGTCCTGTGTGTGGAGGTGTTCGTCTTCTTCAAGCGGAGGCAACAGCGTGACCATTCACTTCCAGCTCTATACCCCTCGCCCTCGCGCGTTTGTTTCGCTATGCTGCTGCTTGCCGTTTACACCTAAAAACTGCTGATCTCTATCTGTTGCCTTGTTGCTTTCTCCCGGTTTTTCCCGTTTTTCTGCGCTTTCCAGTGGTTTGGCTGGAGCAGAATCGATGGATGCCAGGCGTAAACTGGCGTCCTGGTTCTGTTGCGCGGGCCGCGTCGCTCGTTCGCACGTTCGTCTTCAGACACGACGTCGTGCTCGTCTGGGATCAGGAACAGCCCTTGCCAAGGCGTCAAACAGTTCTGTCCCGCTCGGAAACCGCTCCCCGGTCGACGTTTACTGTCCCCGGCAAAGACGCGAAATTCGTGCAGCGCGAGATTTCGGTCAGGGAAACGGGAGGCCCGAGATGTGGAACATGTATGTTGACCCCCGGCCCCTGCGGCAAAAAAAATGAATGTCCCTGCCGTCTTTTTTTCTTTTGGGATCGTGCACAGAAATGGGGCGCGGCTGTTTCTTTTTTGTCCCTTGCCGTCTTTTTTTCTTTTTGGGATCTTTTCGGGGGTCAATCTCAATAAACTTTGGCGAAGTTGATCTGCGCGGCGCCAATCAAGCCTCCGTGTAGGTGGGTGCGGGGCCGCGGCTTCGGACGCGTGTTCGTCTCCAGATACGACCTAAAACTGGAATTATCCTCCGCCGAAGAGGGGTTTTCGCTGGCTCAAGTCAGCGTCCCGCCGTGTCTAGATACGAACAGACCTCCACTGACGGCTGCTTTTATCGTCTTGTAGGCGCTCGAAAGGGCGGCAAATCCCTGTCGTAGTCAGGAAACGCAGACGCACTACGACAGTGGAAGCAAACGTTGGCAAGATTTCAGGCACGTTTTTGCCACAATCAAAACGTGAACGCGTCCATCATGAACTTCCAAATCCTTATTTTTATCAAGAATTCTTCTGGCACGACATCACAAACCGAAGATCAGCACTGGATCGATGAGAAAACGAGCAAATGCCTCTCCTGGACCGACCGGCGTGCACCAACACGAAAATAAGTGCTACAACCTGAGAAGCGGAGCCTGTTTTTATGATCACAACTGGGAAAAAAGAACACTCGGGTCAGGAGCAGCACGCGTGATCTGCAAGATGCAACAGAGACTGGTCGTGCTCCCGATAAAACCGATGTCACTAAGTTGCTCAGAAGAGCCAACAAAGATGACTTTGTACTTGCGGGCATTGCGTGCCCGCTTGTAGTTCGGAAGTAATACTTGCAAGGTACATTTGGAATCTTCATTTACATTCTTACACGCCACCCCAAGAATCAATCTTGTCGTGGGTTCTGGGTTTCAGATTCAGCATCCAGTTCAATAAACCTTCATCGGACAGGAAAACTACATTTGATTTAAGTATCCAGGATGATTCTAGGAAAATTTCCTCATTCTCTTTTGCAAACTAGCATCATACAGAAATTATCGGGTACTACCAATAGTGTAGCAAGGAATAGAAGCTCTTGTTGCTGGAGCTTTTTTACAGATAGATTGAGATTGGGTGTCAGTTTGTACAATGAACCTAAAGGAGGAGAGTGTAGAAATTTGTATGAATACCAGGGCATTTCTTAATTTCACCTTCATCTATTCCGACACATCAAAGTAAGTAGCTGTCCCCGCCCCGTGTCGCACCTCAACTGGACGCACTCGGCGGCAGCAGGGCCTGGAAGTCGATTTTTATCTTCTGTCCCTTCGCGTAGAGCCCGAACACTGGGTAGACCACCGCAAACTTGTCCGTTTTTTCCGCTTTCACGGAGCAGCTGCCGATAAGCTGGGAGTTGAAAGTATGAGAGTGCACAACTCCCCCTCCCCCTCATTTGTCACGCAAAATACCGAATCCACCACTTGCCTCTTCCTTGGCACTGTTTGCATGACAAGTTCTGGTACCCCAAATAGCACTACACTCCAGTGCAACTTTGTCATGCAAAGCCGGCACTTTTGATGATGCTTGTATTGCCGTTGATGCTATACCAATGTGGGGGAGGGGGAGTTGTGCACTGTCATAGAAAAACCACCGGACCAGGAAGGTATCCGGGTTGTACTCGCACCCGATGACCGAGCCCTCCTTAAACATGACCTGCTTCGTAACGTCCGTCGTTCCCGTGCAATCCGCGTCGATCACCCCGTTGTTGCTGTTGTAAAGTACACCAAATTTCTGCTTCAGCTGGTGGATCGTATCACCACTCGGCTGCACAGCGGTCACGCCGATCGCCAGGCCACCACGGGGGTCCGAATTGGATTCGATCTGGTTCATTTTTGCCGATAGAGAAGCTGACTGACAGTCACAGTGCTGAGCTTTAACTTTCTATTTGTCTATGCACAGACGGGCATCACAAGAAGATCTTGTCATCATGCACAGACTTCACATTCATATACCTTCGCCTCGAAGTAGCCTCTTCTGCTGTTTCGCAAGGGGTGTGCCGCCGAGATCAACTGCCAGCCGTCGTGCGTGCTTTCCGCGGTGTTTTATCCTGTGTAAAAGCGTCCGCACCCCAGAGTTGTCATGCAAATGTTCAGTGACAGGAAAATTTGTAATGCGCATCTCCTTGAGACTGAGAGGCATTTCCAGTCGTGTTCTGGAATTTGTACTTATTGCTGTAAACAGCGTCAGCGCATGGCTTTCACATGCGGCTTTCCTTTCTAACCAGCAGTACGCTGCAGATGGAAACCTGTCATGCAGAACTCCCAAAACTTGGAGATTTGTGTTGCAGATCTCCCACCTTGACTATGGTATTAGGACGTTTTTACGTAGGATATGTTTGATGTGACAATCAAACTAGTCCCGTGATTCTTCACCATCTCGTTTGGGGGGAGGAAGTACGTAAATTCCCTGTGCATTGCAAATATTCATCGAGTGGAACTGGGTCTGGAAAATAGAGTACTTAAAAACTGGTGCGACTTGTATTTCTTTTTACGTCTTACTTTAATTATCATGCCCAAATGCAGCTCGTGGTGTGCGTATGCGGCTTTATTTCATCGATAACTCTCTCAGCACAACTCAGCATAACAGGCTTATTCATTTCAGACCCAAGTAGAAACGACTTTCTATTTGCAGTTCTTATTTCAAGGCTTCGCACAGCAAGTCCATGTTCGTTATGAGAGTGCACAACCCCCTTTCCCCCTCAGTTGTCGCGCAAAAAGCCAGATCCAGTTCACGCCCTTTGATGGCACAGTCTGCACGACAAATGATTCCGCAAGCCCTCCACGTAGTTGTACTACATTCGGTCTAGGGCATTGTTCATGTCATGCACCACAGGCTCCATGTTTACTGGTGTTTCGATATACTGCTCATGCCACTCGAATGGGAAGCAGAGGCGGGGGGCTGTGCACGACTATCATATTTGTTCTTTGCTCTGCGGGTATCGGTGGTATGGGGACGACGGTACCTTTGATTTCAAACAGTTCCTGATGCAGTGAAACACGCAGTCGCAGAAATGTGGTATGTCATGCGCATGATGATGCGCAAACAAAAATTCACGATCGGCATGGCAATCTCAATGTCAACATCAGTTGTACTTTTGTCCGGTGCTAGCGCTTTGTTTTTCACGTAATCCAGAATGAGAGCGAAGCATTCGGGATTGAAATCCAGCACGTATCGGCCGTCTGCGTCCTTCTTCAGCGAGCTTTCTGCCGCAAACAGCGCATTCAGATGGGAATCCGGGACGAAAGCGAGGGCACCTAGGGTTTTAGAAATTTTTGACGTTGATGTTGACGTTGTGCAGATTATATTCCAATACCAATTCTTGTGCCTGTGCATCTTCACTACAAATCGTGCGTCTCGACGGTCTCCCGTGTATGTTAAGAATTATGCACGAAAACGACAACTATAATCCTTCAAGCGCCTGTGCTTGAAATAATATAATACCTTTTCTCAATTGGAAATTCACTCCGGAGCAGCTGAGTTTGAGCAAGGTGTCATCGCTCGAGTCCAGCACTTTCAGACTGTTCTATCCTGTGCAAAAGTATCGTACTCGTAGTAATCGCAGGCATGCATTACAAATCTAGCAATCAAGGCGAATCCGCATTACAAATTTACATTTGTAATGCTGAGGAAATTTGTCATGCGTTTATACGAGTGCGATACTTTTGCAATGCATATGTTCCTTGTCGCCTCGATCTCCTGCCACGCCGCCTCGATTTTTGCTTTTTCGCCCTGGATCCACTGCTCTGTCTCTTGCTTCAATTCGTTGCAGAATTGCTGGGTCTTCTGGTACTGCTCGTTTACGCTGGTCCAAGACTGCTTGATCTTGGATCGCTCCCCGTCGATATGCATTGCAAAAGTCGTAGAAATTATCGCAATTATGCATTACAAATCTAGTTCTTTATTAGGTAAATCCGCGTGACAGATTCCATTTGTCATGCTGAGCTAATTTGTAATGCAATTACTACTAAATACGATACTTTTGCGATGCATAGTCGATCGCATGTACCAACTTGTTAAACGCTTCGATCTATGGATCGCAAATGCGGTTCTAGGTCTGGAAATTTGTGATGCATGGTGCGCAGCCTTGAGCCTTCTCGTTGGAGCCCCCACACAACACAAGTTCTTGACTGAGCTGTTATGTGTATGTCATCCGCAATCCGCATGAGAAACTGCGTTTGTGTCATGACAAAGACGAAGGGGCTTGATGCATCGTTTCAGGCATGCCAGGTTTTGCTTTTGTTTCTCTCCATTCTGCCAAGCATGACAAGTCTTGCATTCATCTCCCACACCCAAACATATTTGCGTTTGATACGGTCATCGCCTCATTGCCACGCTCCTCGGCTTATGCATTGCAAAAGTATCGTACTCGTATAATTGCATTCCTCAGCATGAGAAACGAAATTTGTAATGGGGAATTGCCTTACGAAAAAGATTTGCAATGCATGACTGCGATTGCTACGACTACGATACTTTTGCATTGGATACGGCTGCGTCCGGCGATTCCCCGGGGCGCAGCTTCGCCTCCGGGCCGCCGGCAGGAGAGGAGGGCATAGTTGGAGTTTTCTCTGCCTTTCGATTTGCTATTACCTTGCTTGCCAAGAGCAAGATCGGTTGACTGTGGTATACTTTTATCGAGATCTGAATGGAACAAGTCGGACTCGCTTCAACATGTGGAAACAGACGCTCGGGTTTCTTCAAGTCTGACTCTTGTTATACCTTTGCTTTGCTGACATAACTCTTCAAATCTTCCTGTCACCGAGCAGAAAGGCGAAAGTGCAAAGACGACGACGACAAAAGGAGATAATCAAATGAGAAACCCTCATCACAGTTGTTCCACGTAAAGCTGGTTTCTACTGTCTCTCATGTACTACTGTAGACGAAGCAGTGCGCAAAGACTTCAACGAGCGGAGTACTTCTAGTTCAAGTTCTCTCTGTTATATGGGCAAGAAGACAGCACCCACGACGTCACGCTCAACTACACGACCGGCTGCTATTAATCAAAGTTGAAGATCATGAACAGAAGCTGCACTACTTCCATAGCAGTACCTGTTCCTCGACCACGACGACAAAAGTAGTGGTCTGACGACTTTTTTATTCTGTAACCTCGATCAAGTACTAACTTCTACTTCGCATGTAGTGGTCCTCCTTCTGGTCGTGTCATGGAGCCTGCAGCTCTTGTTTGCATCACAATCATGTGTAGCCTACTACTTCTCGCGATGATGACAAGTAATGTGCTAACTTCAAGATGAGTACCACCTATGCCCCGTGCTACAACCCGAAGAAGAAGAACCACGGAGGTCCTCTACTTGCGGCAACGGTTCCAAACTAAATTTTGTTTCGGGATACGAAGCAAAACGGACGCGTGACGAGAAGGAACCTAGACAAGGTGGCAGGACAAGGAAAGCATACGTCGATTATAGACGCAGCAGTGCCTCCAGCTGGTTCCCTGCGCGATCTTGTACAAGAACTCCTCTCGCACACGCGGAGTTTGTTGAGGTTTTAGTTTTTTCACTGCAAAAAGAAATAAAGCTCATGATCCATGTGTGTAAAATTGCAGAAGAAGTGAAGATCGAAGATAAAATTCGGGATACGAACAAAATCTTTGCCTGCTCAGGACTAAGGGTTCAAATAAAAAATTGTAATTGGGTCTTTCTGTTGTTCTTGTTTGTATATGCGATGGTGGTCGTGCCTGCTGTGCTAGATCTAGAAGATGATATGAAATGAAGGAGTGGCGATCATGTTTTCTGACTGTAATACTCTGCCCATAAAAAAAAAATTCTAGGCCACTTGTTCTGGAAATATTTTCGAAAGAATTCCGATGACTAGTATCCCTTCCCAATCATGCGGTGACTTTTCTGTGAAATAGAAATTGAGCTGGGGGTGAAACTGGTGAGCCATTGACTTACACGACGGTATTAAAGGTAGTTCGCCATTTTTTGCTGCCGGTGATTCCGGACGAGCGATGCGCATCCACAAATTGTGAGAAGCGGTTGCTCAGTAGCCGCAGCAATCCTCCTCCGCCTCTTCGTCCTGAGTATCACAGTGCAAAAAACTGTCTCCAACTGGTGAAGGTGATCATTGCGACATAATTATTTTCGCTGTAAGTTCCAGGCATGGGAGCGGCAGGCTTTATTTCAATAGAAGATCAAGAACGCGAAAGGTTCATCTTGCAGTCCTAGTTAGTCTGAAAATTCAGTTGGAGCGAGCCCGAGCCGCGTATATTCGCATGACAAATAACTGGCCTCGAGATAAGGTCGCGGTTGTGTAAGTAAGTAAAAAGTACTTCTCACTGACACTGTACCACGACCAAAAAGAAACTTCCCACTGAGGCTGAGGCGGGTTCTTTATTTTGCATGAAGAAACATCAAAGAGGGCATCGTGTTCCTTTTTCATTGTCACAGCGAACACCAAGACGTCGCATAAAAAAAATCATGAGGCGGAGACATCACTTTTGCACTGGATATTTTTCAACGTCGGAGCACTTTTTCCTATGAGAGTGCACAACCTCAACCCCACCTCCCCTTTATACATTTCTATAAATGATGCAAAATACCAAGTCCACACGACCCTGGCCCTAGGCAGTGTCTGCATGCCAAATTTTGGAACCCCAAACCGCACTACAAGCGTGCAAATTTGTCATGCGGAAGTGGCATCGCTGTCGTTGCTTGTGTTGCTGTTCTTGCCGCACAAATGAAGGGGAGGGGGACGAGTTGTGCACTGTCATATTCCCCCTCGTCGGCGTTTGCGTCTATCCTGTGCAAAAGTATCGCACTCGTATGAATGCTAATGCAAGTCTTGCATTACAAATCTCTTTTTTAAGGTAAATCCGCATTACAAACTTTATCGCTCATGCTGAGGAAATCTGTAATGCATTTATACGAGTACGATACTTTTGCACTGCATAGCGTCCCAGGTGCAACGACTCTCGTCGCAGTCCTCAGCTGCGGTAAAGGTGCTGCAGGCTTGTATCCTGTGTAAAAACGTTCCCACACCATAGTTGTCATGCAAATCTGCATGCTTAAAATGTTTCTCATGCGGAGCCCCATGAGAAGCATTTGCTAATGGTGTTTTGAAATTTGTCATGCTCCAATCAGCATGAGAGACTAGATTTGTAATGCTGCTGAACTAGCTCAAACAGCACTACACTACGCGTCCAAATTTGTCATGCGAAACAGGCAAAGCTCGCGGATTTGTCTAGCCGATTCCCCATCTTGACTATGGGGTGGGTACGTTTTTACATACGATAGCTTGCTGTCCGGACGCGGACTTGTCCCCACAAGTGGTTGCGTCGGCATCCCAAGTGCAATCGGCGGACCGGGCAGCACACTCATCCTCGGCCAGTGTGCTGCAGGCTTCTGTTGATGTTACAAAAATGACGTGGAACAAGTTCAAGCCAGGAGTAAGTAAAAGCTAGAAGTATGTTTTTGTTTTTCGCCAACATGATTTGCAGACTTCGTGCAATCATTCTCGCAAAAAAGAATGTTCACGTCAACGAGCGAGCTGCTTATTAGAACAAAAGAAAATTGCGACAACAAGTACCTGGAGTCTTGTCACCGCACTTGTCGTCGGCCCAGGCGCATCGATCGGAGGGACAGGTGGCCTCTTCGTAGGTGTCGCATGCGGCTGGTTCGGTAGTCTTGTCGCCGCACTTCTCGTCGGCCCACGCGCATCGATCGGAGGGACAGGTGGCCTGATCGTAGGTGTCGCACGCAGCTGGGTCGGCAGTCTTGTCGCCGCAATTTCCGTCGGCCCACGCGCAGCGATCGGAGGGGCAGTTGGCTTGTTGATCGAAGGTGTCGCATGCGCGGCGCGCAAACGCAAACACTTTCACTTCGTTCAGGTTCAAGATGCGGGTGTCTGGAGAATCTCCCGGCACAACCCCCGGCAACTCGATGATCAAGTACTTTCCTTCCTTGCCTCCGCAGTCCACCGTGGCGGTACCGACCCCATCAATGGTAGCGTCTGGCACGAATTGGTCCTTGCACGTTTCCCCAATTTCGCAAACCACGTGTTCACACACCTGGGCCGCGCTGCTGGTCGACAGGGCGTCGCAGGTCTCCCCTTTTCCAGTACCTTGCCACCATTCCCGGATGCGCGTCACCCCGGTCTCTTTGTGTGTCACGTACTGGTGAAACCATCTCGAGGTAGCGGAGCGGTCGCGGGGTTCGCTCTGGAGGAGGACCCGAAACCCGGCGTTCTGCTGGTCGGTCACGTTCGACTCGATCTTCGCCGGGTCGGTGGCGTTCCAAGTGTTTCCATCGTATTTCTTGTCGAAAAAGAGGCGGCGCAGCCGAAACAGCCCGTCGCCGGAGATGTAGCTCGTCAGCTCCACTGCGCCCACCTTGGCTCCGGTGCTGACGCCGGACAGCTCGAGCTGCACCCACGGGCAATGTTGGCTATCAAAGCGTCAGAGGTTGGACATCGGAAAAATGGAAAAGCTGCTAACTCTAAATGTAAAAGTAAATCTACTTCAACATGCATCTAAGTAATTCTACGATGGGATGAGGTATAATTCAATGCAACACGACAAAATAAAGTGCCTGTGTTCTTGCACTGGATGCTGCGTAAAATATGTGCCAGACCTAAATCTCCTGACCAGGCTCCTGGATCATGGGGATCATCATGCTGAAGAGCATGACAAAGCCCGCTGTTTCTTTTGCCATTGAAGATGCACCTATTTCCGCTTAGACCAAATGGGGGCTGGGGCTCCGAAGCAGGCGGGTATCGATTCATTATCATTTTATGCCTCACAAATAATCTATAATTTCCATTTTGTCAATTTCGATTTCCAACCTGACGCTACCATAGTGGCCAGGGCTGCCGTAATTGTTGTCCGCGGTGTTGAAAACAAGGCCAGACAGGTATCCAGGAGAAAAACCGCGTTAGTCCAGCTTTTGTATTTATTAATTTTGGTCTTTTTGGAGAAGCAGCATTACAAATATTTTGGTTTTGGAGAAGCGGGTAATAACATGACAGCAAAATGTTATCACACGAAGATCATACATACTTACTACAGTACGCGAAAACGCGGAGGTTGAGAGCACCTTGCAACGCATGGGCATGATGACTTGACCGGCACATTTTTAACGTGTTCTTCATCTGCATTTTTACAAAGTGAGTAAGAACCCCACTAACGCAGCTGTTTTGCTCGATAGCAGGTCACCGTCCACCAGAAAGTCCACATCGTGATCTTCGTTGAATTCGCTGGACGCTGTGATCGCATCCGCGGACGGTGTGATATCTTTCGGTTCCGGTGGCGCCGAAGGCTATCAAAATGAAAAATCCCCCCTCCCAGAAATCGAAAAGGTACGTCTCAGAAAATTTTTTGTGATGCTGACTTGTGGCCACAAATCGTCTCTGTCTTGCAAGAACGCAACTCCACAGGCTCCGCCGCATTCTGCAGGCGGTTTGTGATGCTCTTGGCCCTACAGAGTAGACGTTTGCCATGCTCAGTGCCTAGGCCTAGCCCAAAACCTCCCTACTCAGGATTACTGTAGGCCTGCAGTGGTCCTCTCCAGCAATACAAATCTGATTTGTGTACGTAAATTAATCCAGCATCAGAAACTTCGTTTTGATATAATGGGGAGGGGGGATTCTTCCTTTTGATAAAGGCCGAAACACCTTCACTTCGTTCAGGTTCAGAATGCGGAACTCCGGATCGCCGGCTCCCGGGTTTTCCTCGATGCCGGGCAGCTCAATGGTCAAGTACTTCCCCATCTTCCCTCTACAGTCGACGGTAGCGGTGCCGGCGTCCGGGGGCATCTATCAACTGCAAATTATTTAATTAAATGTCTGGGTCCTCTGGAGAAGTCGAAGTCCACATGTCAGACGACACCATCGATCCTGAACAAATGCACGTCGAACTACAGCGAGCATGATTTCATCTACAGGTTTTGCGCAGGAGGCAGCTTCTCCAACATGCTTAACCCGCGTGAGAACGAGGAGTTCGCCCTTATTTATTGCGTACAGTAAGAAGCGGGCCAGTTTTTAGCATCTTCATGGGTTCTTTGAGGCAATGTTCCAGACCTCCCAGATTATATGTAAATTGCAATTCATAGCATGCCCTCCGGCACAACGAACCGGTTCTTGCAGGTCGCTCCTTCGCCTTCCTTGCAGATGATGTGCTCGCAGACCTCGAAGTCGTAGCACGCGCCATTGCGGGAGTTGCAGACCTTGGCGGGCTCCGCGCACGCGTCACCACGCCCGGCAGCCGGAACATCGCGCTTGTTGTTCGTGACCAGAACTCGGATGCCGCTGTTCTGCTCTGTGTCAAGGCTTCCCTCCGGGAGGTTTCCGTCCGTTGCGTTCCACGTTTTGTCACCAGCAAAGTTGAGGATCTTCTTGCGAAAAAACAGCCGGCGGAGGCGGTTAAGAGCGTAGTCGGAATGCAGAAGCGTGGTCAGCTCCACGTGGCCCACCTGCGTGCTTTCATTTGGCAGTTCCAGCTGGACCCACGGACACTTCTGGGCAGGCGCGTCTTCGCCGTCTTCGCCGTCAGCGGAGTTGAAGGGGTTCCCCAGCAGGTTTCCGTCCACCAGGTTTTGCTTGGAAGTCGTGGATGAGTACGTGCTCGACACCGTGACATTGCCCGCCGTCGGTGTGATGTCGTTTGCGGCCCGTTTCACTGTGCATTGCGGCGTCGCTGCGGCATCGTCGTCCCACAGACAGTTCGGGTACGCGTTGCAGGCTCCTTCGGTTTCGATCGCGCCGCAGCCCGTTTTCCCGTCTGCGGACACCAGCCCGATGCCCCAGTCCCCGAACGCAGCCCGATTCCTCGGTGACGCAGGGTTGATGCAGCTGCCGCCAGCCGCGGGAGCCGGATCGTCGAGGCATTCCGGCGTGAAAACACAAGCGCTCACTTCGGACCGCCAGAAGCACGACCCTCCGAAGGGGATGGTTTCAGCCGCGGCGCCGTTGCAGGCGGCTTCGTCGGCGTGCGTCCGGCAGTGTTGAAACCCTTGGTTGTTCTCCGCGACGAAGTCGCGGAACTTGCATTTTCCGTTGTCGGCGTCCCACTGGCACTTGCCCGTGTCCGTTTGGTCAGCGCCGTTGCAAGGAGAATCTCCGTTCTCCATCAAGCCGCTGCAGACTTCGACAGGCCCGGAGTCTGCACCAGCAGTGCCCACCTTCTTACAGTGGAACTGGGCGTCAGCCTTAATCGTGCCGGAGTCCAAACAGTCATCGTCATAATCGACCAGCGCATAGCGCTCAAAAGGATCCGTTGCGAGACGGGTCGCAGCAGATTCTTCCTGTCGTCCCGCCTTGTGCAGTTCACCCGCGCCGGTCTTCAGCAGCCGCTGCTCGCTTTTTCCAACCTGTGCACGACGGCCCGCCTTGGATTTTTTCAAGTGCTTGAGGATCATCACCTCCACCGCCGTGGCGCCGGTGGCCGCCAAGGCCAGGGTTGTTTTCTTCAGGGAAGTTTTCGTCATAGCTTTAGTGCGATGTTGTTGTTGAGAGAAAGTAGTTACAGTGTTGCGTTTCTGAATTTTTGGCGTGAATAAGTGTAAATAATACTGTCGTTCTTCACAAACAAGAAAAGTGGTTGAGAAAAAGGCGGGTGGTTGTACTTGGAAATGGAATTGTGCCGTCCTGGGGATACTAGGAGGCCCAATTTACAAATCCTGCTGTTCGTCGTGTTTCGGTAATATCATCTCAGCAATGGTATATAAAGGAAAAAATCAGATATCTATTTCGTCACAGCCGGGAAGTAGTACAAGCAAGTACTTCTCGAGGTGGAGTGACGAGAAAAAAAAGACGCACGCCGCGGACGCAGCAACGAGAACGACGACACGATGAAATCCTTGTCCTCGTCCTGGAAAACTTTTTTACAAACTAAGTCAGTTGTTCCTGAACGAGTTCTTCTATCTTGTCCTCAACCGAACGAAGGAAATCGAAATTCCTTCTCCAAGTGGAAATACCGAAACGGCACCCAACGACGAGCGTCAGATTTATTTGTTGGACGACGAACGATAACCACAAGAACGAGTTTACTGGGATAAGGAAAAGGATTGTTGCACGAGTCGATGGAAAATAACACATACAAGCAGCGTCACCTGGTACGAAGCCGACCCTTTGCATTTCAGTGGCTGGTTACTACAAAATCATCTGCTATAATGCTGTCGTGTAGTAGCGAGAGCGACCTCACCACGACTTATAATTTTCACGAGCATGTAATATGTGACACAGACTGAACGAAGATCCTTTCCAGTGGAGTGGTGGTGGACGTACGCGGCGGCGATGCATGTGGAACAACAGGACGTGTCTAACGTGAAAAACGCAATTGCTATCGCCTCATGCGGTGGACAAAGACTGGGCGGTTCTTGGGATTAACCACTGGAAGATAGAAATTTTGGGTGAAACACGACAAGAACATAGATGAGAGTGACTGCCTAGCTTATTTGTTGTCATTCTTCTTCTTGTTCCTCCGCTCTCCTTTATCCCCTTCGCTCCTACTTTGCCCCTGGTGGGCGGGATTCGCAAAAGAACCTAGTGCCCTACCTCGTCTCCGTCTGGGCGGTGAGTAGAAATCGGGGAAAAGAAGAAGAACGACTTTATACATATTTCCTAGGGTGGATACTTGATGTTTTTCGGGGTGCGAGAAGGGGTGAAATTGAAGTGTGACGGATAATTTAGAAGACAAATTTCGAAAGCCTATTTTTTCTATTGGGGGACCACCATCTGAAGCAAATTTGTATAAAAAAATCGATTCGGAAAATCTAAATCATACGAACTGGTGGTTGTGTGTATAATAGTACTTACTTTTATTGTGAAGACTGCAAAGATATTGGATGCAAAAATTGCTAGTGATACTGCGAAGATACTTGGAAGATGAAATGAAAATTACCAAAATACATGCATGAAAAATGAGGTTAAGTTGAAGTGGGCTGCTTTGTGAAATTTTTTGTACTCAAGACAAGGGCGTGCTAACTTTTTTGAAACTTTGCGTACCTTCTTATTCTTTTGAAATTGTGATCGTACTGAGCGACGAGAGGCACAAAACGCGAGGAGATTGCAGAAAATCAAGATGAACATACTGGAGGCCGATAGTAAAGGGGTTTGCAAGTCCGATTAGGAGCGCGTTTCTCCTGAAAGATTTGCTTCGGGAAGAAGATGACCACGTGCTGTCATTTCAGCATCAGCAGCACCCCTCGGTAGTTTCCGTCACGCCTTCCTCTTCGTCCACCTCCTCGTCTCCCTTGACGATCGCACACGGCGTGTCACCCGAGTTTCCGCACACCCCAGCTTCGCCCGCTTCCTGGGCGCAAGCTTCCGGCTCCGCTCCGGGGCGCCAGTAAACCCCAGCATCGGCGACAATCGGTGTTTCGCTCTCGTCTGGACAGACCCAAACCCCGTAGAAAGACTATTGAGAGGAAAAATCCACCCTCTCCATATCGAAAAGGTATGCCTCCGAAAATTTGCGGCGCAGATTTGTGACCACAAATCCTGTCCGTGTTGCGAGAAGGCAAATCCAGTTAGGCCCTCTGCCACTCTATACAGGCGATTTGTAATGCTGTAAGGACTACAGGGAAGCCGTCTACCATGCTAGGCGCCTACACCAAAAGGCCCCTAAGTAGGCTGGCGATCTGCGTGCAGTCCTCTACTGCAAGACAAATCTGATCTGTGTACGCAACTCCAGCATCACAGATTTCCTTTTCGATATGGGGAGGGGGGATTTTTCCTCTTGATAAAGACGTCTTCGTCCCCAGGCCCGGAACGGAGACCTCGCCTGCCGGAACGTCCTTCCTGTACACTTGCCCGGGCCCGTAGATCCCGCCGTCCTCGAGTGGGGATCCATGGTGGGCGCCCGTGGTGTGGAGCACAAGGCTATCAAGTGTAAATATGTCTGGGTCTGGAAACTTGTGACGCATGTCAGTGAACAGAAAGCGCACTGCAATGTACTACCGCCAAACAGGACAGACTTTCTCGTGGCTCTGTGTTGCGTATTCCGCATGAGAAGCACCGTTTTATTTTTCGCATGAAATAAGACTACAAGAGGAGGTCTTCGTGGCCACGCAATACAGAGTTCAGAGTCGTGCCAAGAAACTAGCATGAGAACAACTCTCGGAATCTTGTTCCAGACCCAGACCTATTTGCATTCCATAAAGGCCGATCGGGTTCATGTTCAAGTCTGCGGACCTGCTCCTATTACAGTGAAAAGTGCCCCCCACCCCTGAAATTGTAAAAATTTGTGATGCTAAGTTTCCAAATGAAAACTTTTTGTCATGCGTGAAAGGAGTGCGAATCTTTCTGATGCAGAGTCTAGGCGTGTATCGCATCGCTTGCAAGACAAGCGCCGCTCTTGCTGGTACATGCAAGAGGGCGAATGTTTCATTTGGAAAGGTTTGCAACACAAATGCTTTCAAGTTCGGGGGTGGGAGTATTTTTCATTCTGATAGCTCCAGCCGTCACTTTCCGCCGCGGTTTTCCACTCCTCCGTGGTCATCTTGTATCAAGAAGAAAAACCCCCCCTCCCCATATCAAAACGAAGCTTCTGATGCTGAACTTGCGTACACAAATGCGCCCTGTCTTGCTGCAAGGCATTGCGGCCAGATCCTCGCCAAGATCATAGGGGCGTCCGGGTCTAGTTGGTTAGCATGGCAAACGGCTACCCTCTAGGCCCAACAGCATGCCAAATCGCTTCCATAATGGGAGGGAAGCCTCTGCGCTTGTCTTCTTGCAAGACAAACCTGATTTGTGGCCACAAATCAGCAACACAAATTTTCGGAAACACACCTTTTCAAAAATACGGGGAGGGGGGATTTTCCACCTTGATATCTTGTCGCACCGCCACATGTCCAAAAAAACGGTGGCAGCGCGGGTCACGGTGAAGGTAACCGCCGAATCCGTCGGGCGGTTCTCCGCGAGCCACGCTCCTTGGTTCTCGCCGTCAGCGGTGGTGACGGGAACGAACATGCAGTCGTCCTGGTAGTTCGGAATGCCGTTCAGGACGTAGGAGCGGTCGCTGAAGATTTTCGTTTGGTCTTTCACCAAATCCGCGACACGGATCGGCGTCGAAGTGATACCCGAGAATGCAGTGTCTTCGGTTACCGGGCTCTCCTCCGGAAGCCAAAGCTTCGCGTCTCCCTCGACAATAGGATCAACATCCGCGCGAATTTGGTGCTGCGCCTTTTTTTTAGTTTGATAAAATATCTTCACCTACATGTCAAGAAGAAACCATAATTGAAAAGAACAAGAAGTCGGTCAGCCGGTGAAGAGATAGAGAAATCGATCGCCTATCAACCATGTTTTTTGAGATCAGTTTGCTCTTGTTGTACTTACCTTCTGCGATTTTCGCCGCTGCAGCTTGTCCCGCCGGCTTTTGTCCAAAGTCAGCATTTCCACGGCCGACGTCGCATGGGAGTGCCAGGATTGAAGTCGTCAAAGTTGAAATAGTTTGTTATGCATAAAATCGATATCAGTTCTTGCAAGCCCAATTCCCAAGCGGTGCATGACAAATTTTGGCACCGTCTGAATCCAGTTTGTTATGCTGTTGAGGGACAGAAGGCGTTTTTTGTCATGCCACTTTAGCAGCTCTATCGCAGACCCCAAAAAGGCTGACAGTCGGGCTCTTCACCCCAAATAGGCTGACAGTCTTGCAATCCCTGCAAGGAAGGCACTTCATGCTTTGCAATTTATGCATGGGAAACTATTGCAACTTTGTCGATTTCAATCCTGACGCTTCCATACGTCGGCGCTGGGAAATAGACCGTGGTCACTCCCGAAACGGCCGCAACGGCCGTTTTTAGTGAGCAGGACTTGCTGTTCAGCGACATCGTATGTTTTCGTTCTTTACGCGAGAAAAAATGGATCCCTCGCTTCTATTCAAGTCGTGTACAACTGGGAAAACCAAAGTACTAAACACTTAAGCGACCACAAGAACCTGTTGCTGCGTTACTTCTCCTACTTCTTCTACCGTTCTTTATCTTTATTTCCAGAGGGAACTTTTACCTGGGAGGTTTTATCAAATTATTGACGTCCTAAACCAATTGTGTCTTCAAAGAAGAGCATGTGCAATTAATACGTGGACGAAACTACAGCAGCAACATACGAGGAAACCATTGCAATATGCCTGACTTGTGACCACGACAGAGTACCTAATGCTGCGAGCACCTAGTGCTGCAGAAGATTTTTGCACGAGAATGAGTAGAGCGCGGACGATTTTTGCAGGGAAACGAAGAAGACGCCGATTTTCGCACGAAAAATGACGCAAAGATGAACGATACGACAGAAAAAAACCAAAAGGAGCGACACAATGTACTAAAGCAGAAACGTCGAACAAGATGTCCAGGTGTTTGAAGAAGTGGGCTGCTCTGCGAAATTTTTTGTGCGCGGTAAATTCCTCGATATTAACTCCGACTCTTTGAAGAACAAATTTGAGTTTCTAATTATTATTGTGAAGGTACTAGTTGAATAACCGGAGAAGCTTGCCATTGTAGAAGCTATTGGCGGCGCTCTTCTAGCAGCAGGTGGTCTCGGCAGTGTCCGTCACAACTTCTTCTTTTCCCGCGCCTGCGCCTGCGCCTGCGCCTGCGCCTGCGCCTGCGCCTGCGCCTGCGCCTGCGCCTGCGCCTGCGCCTGCGCCTGCGCCTGCGCCTGCGCCTGCGCCTGCGCCTGCGCCTGCGCCTGCGCCTGCGCCTGCGCCTGCGCCTGCGGCTGCGCCTGCGCTTACTGTGCCTTCGCCTCCCACGGCGCCTGCTGTGCCTTCGACTCCCACGCCTTCGACGCCTCCCGCGCTCTCACCTCCACTTCCGCTGGCGTCTCCAGCAGTCCCCGCCACGCTAGCCGGACGAGCCATGGTTCCAGCTCCCGCAATGGTATCAAAGGAAAAAAGTGCCTTCATTTTTACACCACTTATTCCAGTAACTGTTTTTTTAGAGCAGAGTACAAAGAACTACTTGGACAAGAAAGACTTGCTCTCTCTGCATGCGCATGACGACGAAACCTTGCTCTTGCAAAAAACTATGAACGGACAAAATGCAAAACGGGACACGAAAAAAACCAAGAATTTTCGTGGTCCGCACCGTTTCGGCTGTCCGCAGCCAATGTCTGTGCCGACGAAACGACAACGCCCGGCTGGCCACCACCGCCAAGAACCGAAAGCAGGGAAGGCCTGACGCGGATGCTTTGGCGATGCTTTTGCTCGAGCACTGTTAGCGGTCGGCCTGCTCTTTGGCCGCACACCAATAACCGAAATAAAGCCGCAATGACTTCAGGCGAAATGGGCAACAGACCCCGCCTACGAGCTCTGCCACCCCGCACACCGAGCGAAATTTCCTTCGCCGAGGCCTGTGGCCTAAAGCAGAATCACAAAGAGTCACGCAAAGGGGGGGGGGGCAAGGGACGCCAGGAAGAGCCAAGGTTGCGCCCTGCGCCTGCTGGCGCACACAATCAACGAGGCGCCGCTAGTAGTTTGGCAGCAAATTTTGCTGCGAACTTCTTGGCATACATGGAAAACGCCAGGAGGCGGGACACGGAGAACTTAATAAGCGGCGGCGCTCCTGCGGGCTGCGAATGGCCTTGCATAGGCCCGGCCGTTGCCCCTCGGGAAAATTGGCTTCGGAAAAACAAACCAAAACCCCGCAGCCTGGGTGGCTGCTTTCAAATATGCTCGCCTTGCTGTTTGACTGACATCCGGGGGGAAGTCTCCCTTGGCTGCCAAAGAAGCAAACCGAAAACAGGAAAAAGCGCGGGGCCATAGCAGCCAACACAGCGCACGCCGTCCCGGGCCCTGACTGTAGAAAGAATGGCGGCGCCGATGCCTGCGGGTGCGCCTTATTTTGCACCCTTCAAGGCCTGGGCGCTGGCATTCACGTCGCAGCAGGCGCAGCCGTTTTGCGGTCGTGTGGGCGTGTGTTATTGCCTGCGCGGCTTTGTCCTGGGGGCTCCCGCGCGCCCCAACCTCTGCGATGATTGCTGACCCCCGCGGGCGCGTTTCGTCTATGGGTGTGGCGGCCACGAAGCCCTTCGGAAGCGGCCCACCGCGCGGCGTTTTCCTTCGCAAATTGCCAAGCAATGAGCCAAATCCTTCCTCGCAAACAAATGGCCGAACCAAGAATCTTGGCTTTTTCCCGGATTTTTTTCTCCCTTTTGGCCAATTCTTGGCCAAAAAGTGGATTTCTTGGCCAAAAAGGCCCTTTTTGGCCAAGAATTGGCCAGATGCGGAAAAAAAAACCGGGAAAAAACCAAGATTCTTGGGCCGGCCATCTTTCGGGACCTTGAGTCGGGCGTGAGGTTTCGCGGGATTTTTGCTCGGCGCTGCGCATATTCGCAGCGCCGCTGCTGCCGTGGGGCCCGCTCGCGACCGCCTGAAGAGCCATCGCGGCCCCTGGCTTTTACGCATTCGGCGGGCTTTTTTCTGTTGCCGATTTGAAATTTTGCACGCGGCAAAGAGCGCGCCACGGTGCGATATAATTGTAGTTGGGCGGGCGCAGGATATTTCATTCCCCTCGGAACATCGGGAGCAGGAGGGGAAGATGAACAAAGGTGGCGTGCCTGTTCTTTGGGGCCGGGTGGCTGCAGCCAGTGCTCGCCCAGGCGGGTGCGCCCCCCTGGCTTGGGGTGGCCGACGTTCAACAGAAGACTTGCTCTCTCTGCATGCGCATGACGACGAAACCTTGCTCTTGCAAAAAACCGGAGATCTTTACATATTAAGATTAAGTTTAACCCTACAGGTACACGACGTCGTCGATTATAACACGCATCATGACTACAGGGGGCTCGGAAGTACTTACTTATGTCGTCGGGCGGCACCACAGACGGTTGTCTGCGCGGTCCTCGGTCCTGCAAAACCAAGAACGCGAGGATGCGTGGCCCACTTCTCGCTACTAGGTCGTAACCGTAAGAACGTTTTACGTGTGCAGCACTTTTTTCCTTACATAGCTAGCCACGTAGTCGCAGTACTTCAACCCCACATACCATCTACAATTCCCTCCGTAGGGCGCCTGTCCCGGCGTGGATGCCAGTTCACAGGTCTTCTCGTCCGCTAGCGCATCGCAAAAGAAAAAGCCTTTGTTGTCTTCCGTGCCGAAGTCCCGAAACGCACAAGTTGTACCATTCCAGTGGCATTTCCCAGTCTCGTATGGAACAAAGAAAAACTAAGCGTTTCATAACAGTTACACATTCGTTGAGTAGCTGACTGCCAAGCAAGACAGACTTGTTGTCTAATATCATGCCGGACAATGCAATCAATGCAGCTTGGGAGCTCAGTTTCATACATATCGTGTATTTTCCCTACTTATCATCTCAGAGATGATCTCTGCAGCACTATCCCGCAAGTATACTTGCCACTTCAAATGTGTAGCTGCATCTATTCACTTTTTTCCTATGACATAAGTCGGTCCTGGCCGCGTCGTTGCAGGTGTCGGCGTCCTATGGATTGCAAAAATGTCTGGGTCTGGAAGATTCCAACTTGTCATGCTAAATCCGAATCATGCAGAAATCTGTGTTGCATGAGTGCCAAAAGCTGTCCCCTTTTGACCAAGTTGAGAGGGAGTTTCTCATGCAGGAAAGGCATGCTAGAGACCTCAAAGAATCTGTCATGCTGGGTCTCGCATTCCAGACCTCGTGGGACATGGAAAACCTGCATCACAAATCTTGCATTCTTCCAGACACAAACATTTTTGCAATGCATACGTCCTTGTAGGTGGCTGCACACGTGGTGACAAGCCCGTCCTGCCCACACCGATGCTTCCACCACCGGTCTTGTTTCTCGTTGTCAATGGTGTCGCACATTGCCGCGTCGACCAATTCCACTTGATCGTAATCGGCGACACTTTTCGTCCCCCGACGCAACCAGCAGGCGTCTGTTCTCCCGGGCCCAGTGAGACAGTACTCGTTGAGGGTCAGCAACTCCTGCTTTGCAGCGTCACATGGGTCGGCCGCTCCAACTACGGCAGTGGGCGTATTTTTTCCCTTGTCATCGCAACAGTTCAGCGTTTCGTAAAATTCTTCTTGGAGGGGTTCACAGTCTCCATGCGGGTTCCTCTTGCTCTCGGTTTTTTTGTTCATCCTCTCCTGCATGTTTTCCTGCATCTTGTTTTTCATCAAAGCCAACACTTCCACCGCAACGCACCCAGGGACAAGGCTAATATTCAGCAGGTTGCTCCTGTTCTGTTGCTGCTGCTCAAGCCACCAAGAGGCTGTGGATACTGCCGTGAGGACGAAGGCGTTGGTCTTCTTCTTCATGATCCGGCGCGAAGGGACGAATGGAATAAGTAGTATGGCTGAAGTTGTATCTAGTAGGTACTTACTTGTACTTTCTTAACACTTTGAGATTGAGTGTAAAAACAAGTAGGTAGGAAATAAAAGCGAAACGACGAAACCGAAAGCCACCTGTAGTTTCTCTTCTTGTTTATGTTGGTTTACTACACGAGGACTTTTTAGCTGCAATACAAGATGTTATTGCCCCTTGTCCTCCGCGACAGGAAAGGATTTTAGTACCAAATTACCGTGCTGGTCCTGATTTGTGTCTTTAAAGTACTGTATTCCTTCGCGTACACTCACTTACACCACACCAAGCTGGTGGAACGTGCGAGGAATGAAGTAGTTGCAAGAGGCGTGAGTAGTTGTGACAACGATAGTAGACAGAGCTGCAAATGCTTGTTTTTGCACGATGAAACTAAGCACGGACGATTTTTAGAGAGCAGCAAAAACGACTCCGATTTCGCACGAAAACTGACGAAAAGAATTTATAGAAAGATTCCGCCGAAGAAAAGAACGACGTAAAATCTATCAAGTGCATGGAGCTGCTGCAGGCTTCTTAAGTAAAATAACGAGTAAGCTTCTTGAAAGCAGCTCTAGGTGGCACAGTACTAATAAAGGCACTACATTTTCTTCAGAAGCAAAACGTCGAACACGGCAAGAACATCTTCACAGAAAATCACAACACTGGCCTGCTGTGGTTCAAAAATTCAATATATCTGTAGTGGGAGGTGCGGAACCGAAATGACCGGACGAAATTGGTCGCGCAATCAAAATCGCGCAGCTCGAGGTTTCCCGAGCCGAGTGTCATACTACATAGACCTGGGCAAGGGCCGGGCAACATTGTGGAGGCCTGTCTGTGCATGTTGCTGTGCCGCAAAAAAAGTTCAAAAAGAAACTGATACTAGAATACGCACCGCGTTCTTGTTGGATAGATCGTACATACAATCGTACATACACACAGAACTCTTCCGACAAGTCCGACAAAAACCGTCTCCAAAATTGAAACAAAGCAATCGCCACGTAAAATAAATCAGAAAAACACAGTTTTGTCCCCCCAGAGCCAGTTCAATTTGGAAGTATTCAACCTCGTGTCCGGGCTGCGTTCCAGCATCTGCAAAATTTCTTTGTTCAAATTCGTTCCCAGGTCCTTGCAACGGTAATCCTGCAAATTCGTCCAGGACTGCAATTGCTCTTGCGTCAGCCCAACGGCCTTCGCGGCCGCGCGGAAGTAGTGTTGGTAGGCGCCGGTCCCGGAAAAGGTGGGCACGAGGCAGACCTGTTTTGATAGATTTATTTCTTTTTTGTGAATATATCGCAGGAGTCACAAGAATTAGAACCGGTTCCGAAACGAGGTGGAGGACCATCGTCATGCCACCGCGTCCTTGCTACTGCTCCATAGGCATACAAATTTTCGCCGCATTACAGCGCGCGTTTTTCATGCCATTCTATCAAGAAAACATAAAGTTTGACCTTACCTCACTTGCCCGACTGCAGCTACCCAACTGCGTCAGCGGGGTCCCGGATAGCAGCGGTGTCAGCAAACTTGGCCCGGTATTGTGAGGAAAAATCTCCCCTCCCCATATCGAAAAGGAAACCTGTGATGCTGATTTGTGGCCACAAATCAGCCTTGTCTTGCGTACAAGGCAAACGGCATCCATGTGGCGCAATGTACAGCGAGTCTGCCATGCGTTTTCGCCTATGCCAGATTTGTTTCTTATGCTCAGCTGCTAGCCGGATGCGTACCCAAATGGGCTTAGAGGATGCCGACAAGCTCTTGCTGCAATACAAAGTTCATTTCTGTACACAAATCCAGCAACACAAATTGCATTTTGAGTATGGGGTTGGGGCTTTTTTCACGTTAATACCCGACCCCACAACTGCTGTTCCACTGCTGCATCGACGGGAAGCCGAAGTAGGTCCAGGGCTCTTCCAGCGTTTGGCATTCGTACCAATCGTCGGTACAGAACCTCTATGAATTGCAAAAGTATCGCACTCGTATAAGTGCATCATTTCCTCAGCATGAGATGCAATCCGGAGTTACCTCAAGAAAAAGATTTGTACTTAGTGCCTGACTGCAATACGAATACGATACTTTTGCACAGGATAACCTCTTTCGGAACTTTTCCGGAATCCAGCTCGACTTGGCCGTGAATTTTCCGCACTGGTTCATGTGCCACTCGGTACACCGGGACCACTGCTGGCTTTTTGTGTTGTAAAACCAGTGAAACTCTTCCGGCATGATTGGGTTGTAGTTCTTCTTCGTCAGCCACTTAAATTGAAACTTCATCAGGTCCGTCCAGTCGTCGTAAATGAGCTTCAGCGGCATCCAGTACCCGTAGGTCCACCGCTTCTTGTAAAACTTGTCCAGCAGTTTCTGGCACATGTTCTTCACCGACCGCGGCATCACCTCCATGGCGCCCGATTCCGCAGAACAGTCCAGGTAGAAGGAAGTCGGTCCTCGTCCTGCAGCTTTCTTGGTTGTAGTTTTGGTTTTCAATGCTCGAAATTTCGAATTTGCTGCTGCTTCCACATCAGAAGCAGCAAGGATGCTACTTCTTATTCCCCGGGTTGCAGGAGCGGGAGGCTCAACTGCTCCAGCATGATGCTGCAACCTGAACAAGAACCCAGTACCGGCTGAAGGAGTGCCAGCTTCTCGTACGGGACGAGTTTCTAGGTGCGACGTAGCAAAGTTTTTTCGTCTGGTACTCTGCATCGAGCCTTGACTGGGCAAGAGCAGATTCCCATGGTGTGCTTCTCCAGGTAGTAGTTTCAGACTTCCCGTGCCCGTGTCGCCTCCTAAGACTTGCTCGGTGGGCCGCGTAATACTTGTTCTTGCAGTCGCTACTTGCGCTCTAGTTGTTGATGAGGCGGAAGGCGTTGCGGTGGCGTTGAACAGCGCAAGTTGCTCCTCAAAGGCAGAAAAGAGAGTCCGGAGCGACATATTTTTGACTCGACTGTGCCGGTGGATGATTTTTTTTCCGACAGACTACTTCTTGCTTTTTCTGACCGATCAAGCCGTTGTGCTGCGGTTGTATATCAGAAGCAAGGTCGGAGAAACGACGAGCTCTATCTATCAGTAGCGAGATCAAAAATTCCATGATGTATGATGTCCTTGGATCAAGATTCCGGCCTGCATACACAAGAAGAAATACTTGAAACAAAAAGCAGTACATTTTGTACCAGCACGACCATGCGACCTCCTCCTACAACTACAAGTGGTTCCTTGCGTACGTACTCATGCGTCTTTGTACTTATCCTCTTTCGATTCATCTCTCACGACAATGAACGTCACGACAACGAAGAAGGTGCGACCAAAATGACGACATCAGGCCTGGTAAAAATGTCCAAGCTCTCACACAAAATCAAAAAGCTAGTCCTAGTAACGTCTCCCGCTATGGAAATCAGCGAAGAGATGTACCTTGATCCTCTCGTGCGAACAACGTCATCTACTCCGAATTACTTCTGTCGCGGTGGAGCACACCCGAGCGAGGACCCATGATGAATTCATAGGCAAACAAGCCAAGGCCATTGCCAGACTTTCATTGCGAGCGATGCAACAGATGCAACAAGGCGAAACGATTGCATCGTGACAAGCGAGTATCAAATATAAAAATGTCTGGGTCTGGAAGAATGGAAGGCTTGTCATGCTTGTCTGGCATGACCCATGATGCTTGTAACGCATGACCCAGCATCACAGATTTTTGGAAAGCTTCCTGATGCCATTTCCGCATGACAAATGCCCTCCTCGCGTAGCACAAATGTGGGTCCTCTTGCTGGTCATGCAATACACATTTTTTTAGAGTCCAAAGTTAGCATCACAAGTTCCAACTTTCCAGACCCAGACATTTTTACATTTGATAAGCGAGTGAACAAAATTTCATCAGCTCCGACCCACACTTGAAGAGGAAGAAGATCTGGCTGCGTTGAGGCGGTGAAAAATCTGCGTAACCTCCCGGCCGAACCGGGAGTCTTCGCTTATCGTCCCCCCCAGCTCTGTATCGCAAGAGAAAACTGTTTCACTGTGAACTTGTGATGCAGAAAATAGAGTGGAGAACTATTTGTCTTGCTACACCTGCAAGACATTCGATTTTCGAGCGTGTTTTCCCTTGGGAAACGCGCATGGCAAATTTTCTGCGTCATGTGTAACAAACTTGTGATGCGGTTCTTGCAAAATCATCACAGTGAAACAGTTTTTTCGTGGGATACTCTGTGTAGTCCGGGGACTGTAACACTAACGGAACGAAAAACTGCTGATACAGTTGTCGCATGTAGTCCCGCATGTCAAGTAACGCGTTCGGCTCCTATCAACTGTAAAAATGTCTGGGTCTGGAAGATTGCGAGATTTGTCACGCTTGTCTGGCATGGCTCTTAAATCTGTCATGCACGTTACCCAAGAACTCCATTTTTCTGTGATGCAGAAACGCAGTTTGTCATGCAGAATAGGCATACACCTAGAAGCTCAGAAACTTGTCATGCTGAGCCAGCACTTGTAATGCCTCATCATGAGACGCCACCCAGCATCACAAGTTTCCAGACATCCAGGGACTTTTGCATTTGATAGCTCCGTCGTGCACACGAAATAATACCCGCTGGGAATCTCCAGACAGTGCAGCTTGTACTTCGGGTATGCAAGAAAAAAACTATGTAATTAGAAGTGTAAATCTGTGATGCAAATAAAGACACAACACAGTTACACCTGTCATGCTGGCCAGCCATCAACTTCTGTTTATTTCGTACTATGTGTTTTCCTTTTCACGTACGGGCTGCGCATGACAAGTTTTCTCTGTAGTCATGCAGTGCAAAAATAAATTTGTCATGCTGTCACTCCAAGACACCTACACACACACAGTTTCTTTCTTGGATATCGGGGTTGTGTAGGAATTGAATTGCTGGATGTTTCGACTGCTCGTCGCCGACGGTTGCACCGCTAGTGGTACTAGTCCTGGCTTATTGTGTTGATGATGTGCCGCACCGGAACCGGTTGTCGTTTTGGAAAGTGCAGACCGATTCGGGTCTTGAATCTGTATCTTCTCCGTGATTTGCTGCGATAACGACTTCATGGTCGCGAGCAACCCGTAAATCAACTTCGTTTCGGAGTCGGTTTGTAGGAAGTCTTGGCGGTACACACACTTCTGCCCACGGTAAAACACATAGAAGGAATAGACTAACATGGTTTTTCTTTTTCTTTGATGATTACTTTTTAGTCGAGTGTTTATGATCTAGTATGTTAAAATTATCTATGAGAACGAAGCGATCATTGGATTTCCTTGTCAATAAACCAGGGCGAATCTTGGAACATCGAGACAGAAGTGATGCGAACAGAAATTTTCGATTTTCGTCTGCAGCGCCACGAGCACGAAACCGAGAGCCCATAGAGGACAATCAAACACCAACACCTTCAGCAAGAACACGATGCAAAAATGGCGCGCGGACGATTCTCGATTCCTGTTCCTCCAGCACCGTTTGCGAAAGCGAATCAGAATGGGGCGCTTTTACTTTTTGGTGAGCTGCTAAAATTTGTTCGTGAAACATCAACATGATGGAGACACTGAAAAATGGGGTAGTACTATATTTCTTACCACTAGAGCCGACTAAATGATGCCTTTTCGTCAAAGGGGATCTCGCCCGAGGCTATCAGAGCGAATAAAATAAGTAAGTAAAGAAGACCGTGCCTATAAAACAGCAGCGAAATACTGCAACTTCTTCTTGTTCTTCTTCTTTCAAGCGTGCTTCAGATCTCCGGTAAATAAGGAAAAAAAGGATATGCTATTTTTTGGGGACGGAAAGAAAAAGCTGGTGCTGAGGGATAAGATTTTCCACATCGAGTTTGGCAAAACATTTGCGACGCCACGTGTAAAACAGGCATGCTAAAGCCATGATTGATGAAAATGAGATGCTGAAGTGACATAAATTTCTGTTTGTAATTGTTATAGTTGTATCGCGATGAAGGGAAAAAAAAAATATACTCAATTGAAAAGAAAACTTACTGTGTGTGTGGCTGTGTTTTTCATCTTTCTTTCCCGGCTGAAAACAAGGTTGTAGTAGAGTAGAACCGCTCGTCCGTCAACCGAGTGTCCCGGCTAGGTGAAAACTCTTGATCTTGACTCCGTCTTGCCCATTTGTTATTGTTGCTCCGTTTTGTTATATTAATACGGGGGAATTCCACAATCCTTCAGGTCCGGGCATGTCCACGACTCTACCTGCACCTCACCACCAGTGGCTACACCGAGGAATCCCTTCGTCTTCTTGTCCCATCGGATTCGTATCAGGTCGCAGTCGTTGCCAGAGAAAAACCCCTTAGAAGACGGCCACTCGGTCACAGAGTAGTCGTCTTCACTTCCTTCCTTTTTCCCTGCATTATCGTATTCGTCGCAACTCATCTCAAATGAGACCTCTTTCGCTTTCGCGGAAACTAAGAACATGTCGCGCGCGCTGTCCCAGTCAAAGAGGTCTTTTTTCCAGAAAAAAACAGATTCTTCTTCTTCCCTGATTAATTTCTTTAGGAACATAACGTTGGCATTCGTCCAATGGCGACCTTGGAATCTCCACCTTGGGCTGCCGACGTCAAAGTCATCGAAGTTCTTGTAGCGAAATTTCATCGTGTTGCCTCTGCACCGACCTATAAAGGATCTAATGTCTTCACTGATCGCATGTTCATCGATTTTTTTACACGACGCAAAGGGACTTTCGGCATCATTTTTCTCCTCGTCGACATTCCTCGCCGGCATGGCAAACCCTTTCGCGTACCCGTTCCAGCCCGTGCATGGCTCGTCTCCGTTATGGAAGTGTCAGAGTCGAAATTTACAAAGTCGAAAAATTTGTGATGCATAACATCGATACCAGGCGCCTCAGTTTGTAAGTGACGCATGACAAATTTCGGGAGCACCCAAATCCGGTCTGTCATGCTGTTTGGGCAAAGAAGACTGCTCCTGCCATGCTACTCTGGCAGCGCATTGCATATTCCTAGACAGGCTTGCAATCGATCTCATTCGCCTGCTCCCCATTACAGGCATCGAGTGCCCTACGTTTTATGCATTACAAATTTTTCGATTTTGTCGATTTCGATCCTGACACATCCATATCCGTTCGGCTTGGCGTAGTAACGTCCGTCGACGGCAGCGCAATCGCCATCATAGACGCGCATGATTTTTTCTGCCCGCGTATCCTGAGTGAAAATGCGTTCACCCCACGGCCAAGATAGAAATCTGCTAGACAAACACAGAACGAAGCTTAGGTGGTCCCGCGTGACAACTCAGTGTCTGCTGAGTACTATAGTCCCAATTATTAGGGGTTGAAAGAATTAAGGTTTTGGTCAAGGTTTTGATTTGCGATTTTTCATTTTTTTTCTCTTCGCTCTGAATGGAAAAGGAAAGCGCAGACCATCCAGCCGAAAAAGCTCGCTGCGCCGATGTCAACATCTCGGCCGGTATCCAGACCAGCAGAAGCCGGGCAAAATGGAGGCCGCGCGCTTGCTGCTTCCAACCTCTCCCCCGGGTGAATACGATGAAGCCGCGGCGGCATTTTTCTCGGCTTCTGCTGACCTGGACTGCTGGCCAAGATATTAGCCTCGGCACCTCCCCAGAAGAACCCCAGACGCATGCCATCCGCCGCGAGGTATTTGGGGCGCCGGGCTGCTGGCCTGGCTTCTCCGCCCCCAGATCTCATCCTGCGGTGGCGCGTAGCGGGGTCCGGGGGAAGAGGCTGAGCAGCTGCGGGCTTGCCCGGCTGGAGGTTTGGCCGGGTCCCGGTTGCCGCCAAGGCGGCAAGTTCTCGGCTAGGCCTTTTCATGACAAAAGCGCACCAAAATGGAAGCAGGTTCTGACTTTTTCCGGGAGCTTTCCCCAGACTAACGCTTGCGCCTTTGCCCTTGCCCTGGCCCCCCCCTTTCGGCCGAACTTGGTGGCCTAAACTGGGCCGACACGGGCGCCCATATCTTGGCCTGGCGGCCTGCCTTTTCCTGCGAGTTCCCTGGAGCAAATGGCAGGGCGCCCGGCTTCTCTGCCCCCGCATCTCGTTCCGCAATCTTGCGGGACGCCGTCCGGAGGCAAAGGTAGAGCACCTTCCTGGCCAGCCACAGAGATGCTTGTCCCTGTAGTGGCTGCCGCCAAAGCGGCAAGGTTTTGGCCAGGGTTTTGCTCAGAAGAGGCTCACGGACATGGACGCAAAGACTTACTTTTCCCGGGAGCTTCCCCCGATCTAGAAAAGTAAGCTTTTGCTTTCGCTTTGTGCTTCATCTTGTGGCCGAAAGTGCGGAGCCGAGCTGCGCCGATATGCTCGCCCATATCGTGTCGAGGCGGCCTGCTTCGTCGTGCAAGCCACCTGGAGCAACTGGCAGGGCGCCCGGCTTCTCTGCCCCCGGATCTCGTTCCACAATCTTGCGGGACAACGGGAGGAGGCAGAGGCAGAGCACCTTAACGGCCAACGACGGATATGCCTGTCCCTGTGATGGCTGCCGCCAAAGCGGCAGGGTTTTGGTCAGGGTTTTGCTCCGAAAAGGCTCACCGCAATCGAAGCAAAAACTTATTTTTTTCGGGAGCTTCCCCCGAGCTAATAAAATAAGTTTTTGCTTTCGCTTTGCCCTCCTTTTTGTGGCTGAAAGTGTGGAGCTGTTCTGGGCCGGTATGTTCGCCCACATCGTGCCCAGACAACCTACCTGGCCCTGCAAGTTACTTGGAGCATATGGCAGGGCGCCCGTCTTTTCTGCCTCCGGATCTCGCTCCGCAATCTTGCGCGGCGACGTGCGGAGGCAGAGGTAGATCACCTTCCTGGCCAGCCACAGAGATGCTTGGCTCTGAGGTGTCCGCCGTCGACCTCATCTTCAAGCCAAAGCCTTATTTTATTAGGTCGCGTTTCGGACAAAAAAAAACTAAGGTTTAGGTTTGGAGATGAGGTCGACAACCCAACCTCAAAGATCGCCCTCTCTTTTTGCGGTCCACTTCCTGCTGGGCCACTCGCAGTGGCTGGAGGCTGGCCATGGCCGGCCCGTAGGAACTTGACCTCAAAAAGAGAGGCCGACTTTTGTCGGCTGGGTATAACGAGCTCATTTCAAATCAAAAACTTAGTTTTTTTTCTTCCGAAACACGAGCTAATAAAATAAGTTTTTGCTTTCAACACGAGCTCCGAAAGCAGCCCCGGAAAGCAGCCCTCTTGTTGTGGCCGGGATTTTGCCCAGTCAATCTCCGGCGGCGGATGTTGGCCATGCCTAGACCCGCACACCCGGGTGGCCGATTTGACGACAAAGACATACCGTACTAGCTCGGGGGAAGCCCCGGGAAAACCGGGCTTCCGACCTCATCTCCAAACCAAAACCTTAATTATTTTTTCTCCGAAACGCCACCTAATAAAGTAAGGTTTTGGTTTGCAGATGAGGTCGGCGGCGGACGCCTCAGAAACGGGCGTCCCTTTGGTTGGCCAGGAGGGTGGTCTACCTCTGCCTCCGAACATTGTCCCGCAAGATTGCGGAGCGAGATCCTGAGGCAGAGCAACCGGGCGCCCTGTCACTTGCCCCAAGTAACTTGCAGGGCCAGGTAGGTTGTCTGGGCACGATGTGGGCGAACATACCGGCCCAGAACAGCTCCACACTTTCAGCCACAAAAAGGAGGGCAAAGCGAAAGCAAAAACTTATTTTATTAGCTCGGGGGAAGCTCCCGAAAAAAATAAGTTTTTGCTTCGATTGCGGTGAGCCTTTTCGGAGCAAAACCCTGACCAAAACCCTGCCGCTTTGGCGGCAGCCATCACAGGGGCAAGCATCTCTTTGGCTGGCCAGGATGGTGATCTACCTCTGCCTCCGAACGTTGTCCCGCAAGATTGCGGAACGAGATCCGGAGGCAGAAAAGCCGGGCAGCCTGCTCCGCGTACCAAGTAACGCGCGAGGCGAGGCGGCTTGCCTGGCGTAGATGCCAGCCTAGATCTCGAGGGAAATGCTGACCCCCAAATCAGCCAGCGTGCGCTCGTCAGAATTGTGGCGACACCTCGCACAAAATCTGGATCGGCATCAAGGTAGAAGGGCCTTCAGCTCTGAAGGCCCGGCGGCTTTGGTTTTGCCAGCCAGACGAAATACGAACCAAGGCACCACCTGGACAACTGCCGGGCGGTGCGAAGAGGGACAAAGGCGGGGGCTGCGAAATCTATGAAACCACGAACCAAAACCCTGATGTAAACCTTAATTTTTTCAACCCTTAAAATTAAGTCTAGTGCAGCCGCGTCACTCTCGTGCGCTGAAGATTCGAGCAGAAGAAATTATTCCTTCATACTTATCATAGCGGATCATACTCCTCAGCGGCCTCCGCATGAAGAGACACATGTAGTAGCCATTTGCACCTGCGCAGCGGCAGCATGCACTAGATTTCCATGATAATTCTAGGGTGAGTACGTTTTTCCGCGGGATATGCCACACCTTCGCTCGACACTGCCAGGGGGGCAAAGGAACCTCCGGCCCCACCTTCTCCGCCCGCAGGGGCAGGCGCGGCTCCTTGTTCCTGGTCGTTTTGATCCCCACATCCGGCACCACCGCCGCAGCTGTTACCGTTCTAATATGCGAGTGCACAAGTCCCTCCCCGCCCTCGTTTGTATTGCATGTCTAGCATCACAAACAGCCTGCAGAGTTGTGAGGCTTTTCTTTGTGCGACAAACCTAGTAGGCCAGGACAGCAGTGCAGTTTGAGCTTAATACCGTAAGCGTCATGAAAACACGGCCGAAGCTACTTAGTGTTAGTGCCCAGGTAGGAATGGATTAGGAATAGGATTCGGAATTCTGCATAACAAGAAACGAGAGAGACGGGCGTCGTCGACTCGTGCACTTTCATATTGACGCAAAGCGTTCCGAACCCAGCGGGACAAAATAGCGTTGCTGGACAAACGAACCGGAGCCGATTTCATCTTCCTGCTGCTGCTGCCCAGAATCATGATCTTCATGATCTCCAGGTGTAGTTGAAGCAGTGGCATTGTACCGGCCCGCCGTGTCGAAGATGAGAGGAGCGTTGTTGTTTTTAAGATCTTGTTCATCCTTCCCCGCTTTACTATCGTATCTTATCCGTTCGGTTTGGCGTAGTAACGGCCGTCGACGGCATGGCAATCGCCATCATAAACGCGCATGATTCTTTCTGCCCGCGTATCCTGAGTGAAAATGCGTTCACCCCACGGCCAAAATAGAAATCTGCTAGACAAACACAGAAGCTTAGGTGGTCCCGCATGACAACTCAGCGTCTGATAACTGTAGTCCCAATTCAGTCTAGTGCAGCCGCGTCACTCTCGTGCGCTGAAGACTCGAGCAGGACAAATTCCTTTATACTTATCATAGCGAATCATACTCCTCATAGGCCTCCGCATGAAGAGACATTTACTTATATTGTATAAACATGTAGTACCCATTTGCACCTGCGCAACATGCACTAGATTTCCATGATAACTCTAGGGTGAGTACGTTTTTCCGCGGGATATGCCACACCTTCGCTCGACACTGCCAGGGGGGCAAAGGAACCTCCGGCCCCGCCTTCTCCGCCCGCAGGGGCAGGTGCGGCTCCTTGCATGGCGTTCTCAAGTGTTACATTCTCTATTGTTACATGAATTGGTGATGCAAGAATGGCAACAGGGAAAGACCGGATCTTGCAACTCTTACATTACAAATTCGGCACGGATTCCAGTGCTGTTTAGCCCTTCCAAAATTTGTCATGCGAGGCAGCTTCACTGTGTGGACGTTGGTGCTCATTTTGCATGACAAATACATGCAACAGCTGAGAATGTAACATTTGAGAACGCCATACCTTGTTCCGAGTCCTTTTGATCCCCACATCCGGCACCACCGCCGCAGCTGTTACCGTTCTAATATGCGAGTGCACAAGTCCCTCCGCCTCCCGCCCTCGTTTGTATGGCATGTCTAGAAGCATCACAAACAGCCTGCAAAGTGAGGCTTTTGTGCGACAAACCTAGTAGTCCAGGAAAGGCCCGGGCAGCATTGGGGCGGCCATCGTCCCGACTGGGTGGCGGCAAGCCTCACGCGCATTTTCGCCGGGCCGGTTGCGCCCGGGCCGCGATGCGCATGCGGGCGGCCCAGCCTGTGCCGGTATTTTCGAGAGGAAGCAACGAGCGGGGGTGGGCCGGGGTGCCGATGCAAGAAAAAAGACGCCGGGCGGACCGGGGCACTGAAGAATGGGAGAGGGGCGCCCCAGGCTGACGGACCGACCCCCCCCTGGGGTGGGCGGAGGACGGCGCAAGAGGATAGGCTGACGGAGGGCGGGGCGGCGCAAGAGAATCGCGGCGAAACCTGCCTGATGGTGTCAGAGATGACGGGCGCAAAATAAGTCATGTCTGAAGGCTGTGGCGCGCGCCCTGCGACCGGCCGGGAGGATGTGCGAAGGCATCAAGCGCCCGCAGCTTTTTGATGATTTCCCATGTGCTCCATACCCTCGCGCGTGACGTTATGCCCGGCCCAGTGGCCGTCTTTAGATGTTGCGGCGAAGCATGGCAGTGCAAGCTTCCCGCCGCTGCGGTCCAGCGCATGTTCTTCGTAAGCTTGCCGCGCTCGGGTCAACGTGCGTCGGGCCCTACTGCTCCTCACAAATAAAAAAAATGGGGCAGCGGGTTTGCAAAAAATATGGGTAGCGCACTTACGAGTTGAGAACTTACGTTTTGAGGGGGCCATATGCAAAGTGAGGCTTTTGTGCGACAAACCTAGTAGTCCAGGAAAGCAGTGCAGTTTATCCAAGAAAAAAACTGTGTTAGTGTAGGTCTTTTGGGAAAACAGCATCACAAGTTCGTCTGCCATGACAGGAAAAACTTGTCATGCGCAGATAGGACGGGAAAACACGTAGGAAGCGAGCCTATCATGCATGTAGAGCATGACAAGCGTAACTGTTTTGCATTTTCTGCATCACAGACTTACACTTACACAGTTTTTTTCTTGCATACAGTTTGGGCTTATTACAGTAAGTGTCATGCAAACACAGCCAAAGCTAGTGCCCAGGTAGGAATGGATTAGGATTCGGAATTCTGCATGACAAGAAACGAGAGAGAGGGACGTCGTCGACTCGTGCACTTTCATATTGCCGCAAAGCGTTCCGAGCCCAGCGGGACAAAATAGCCTTGCTGGACAAACGACCCGGAGCTTCCGAGGTCATCTTCATGCTCTTGATGCGGATGCCCAGAGCCATGATTCTCATCTCCAGGTGTAGTTGAAGCAGTGGCATTGTACCGGCCCGCCGTGTCGAAGATGAGAGGAGCGTTGTTGTTTTTAAGATCTTGTTCATTCTTCCCTGCTTTAACATTTTCCTCCTTGCGTTCGAGCGCGGAGGACGAGGGCGTTTTCACGACATCGCCATCAACATTCATCATCAGCAGGCATTTTCTTCACGACGGTCGCTTTCTTGTGATTTTTCTTGGTCACCAGCACCTCCACCGCGTCCGTTCCGAGGAACAAGTCATGCTCGCAAAGATAGCAGAGCAGCGCCGTGACAGCGGAGGTCTTCGTGCGCGGATGAGCTGCTGAAGAGCTCGTGGTGGATTTCAGCCTCATGCTCATCTTCGTAGTTTAAGTTTCCTAACTGTTTTTATAAAACAGTCTCTGCTAAAGAACTTGTGTCAGTCTCTGTCTTGGTTCTGATTGCCTTCTGCTCCTAGAAAACAAGGGCACAGGTGCGTGGTCTGCTCGTTCTTCACTGGACTGCGACAGGGAGAAGGAAATTGTAAGTACTTTACTAAACGAACCCAAACTCAATGCAATCTAGGAGGTGCAGCAAAAATACACGACACGAAATTACTGGTGGTCCGACGTAGTTCGGCACGATAAGACTTGGTGGTGAACGAAATGCACATGGACGAAACCGACAGAGGGACGAAACCAAGAACGAGAACGAGTGTGGCTTCCTGTAGTTCGCCGCGATAAAATTAAAAATAGGTGAAGGAAGGGGAAACGGACGTGGACGAAACCGACAGAGGGACGAAACCAACGAGAGGCACGATATAAGAACGACTGTGGACGAGGACGACACTACACCAATACATTCTGAAACGCCGAGTCCTGAAACTAAACACATAAATCCATCCGCGGGGAGGAAGACTTACCAGGCAATAATAAAGTAGTGGGGAACATTATCGTTACACACGAAATCATCGTACTACGGCAACCGCAGCAACAGCAATGTACTCTCTTGTGTACTTCTGCTTCGAGTTCTTGAGAGGACTACTTTTTGGCGGTCTTTTTGTTCTGACAAGATCCTACAGGAGATCCACAGACCGACCTGTTGTCCTCGAACAGCAGGTAGAGGTACCCCTACCTGCTACACAAAACCATATTTATTACCTCCTCGTCAGTATAATCTTCGAAAACAGCAGGAGCAAAAATTTGCTATCATGCATGAAGAACCTCCTCATCTATCAATCTAGAGTCGATGCTTCCCTAACACTCCATGTTTCCTGTCCCCCGGGTTGATGTATTTCAAGCCCAAAAAGCGAAACACGTCCGCCTCGGTCTCGAATTTCTTCTTGTTCAGTTTTTTCGAAATGTCCAGCTCGGAAACAAATTGGTTCGAGTACTGATTCGAGGGTGTTTTCTTGTTCAGCGCAGCTTGACTCGCACTGCTTTCCTTCTTTACGTACCGGAAACCGTGCTCGGACAAACTGTAGCCGCAGTTTAGCGCGTGGTTCCTCAGATCGATGTTGAACAGCGCATTGCCCGTGAAATGGACCATATGACAGTGCACAACCCCTCCCTCTCATTTGTCATGCAAAATACCAAATCCACTATTTGCCTCTTGGCACCTTTTGCATGACAGGTTCTGGCAGAAAGATCAACCAGCACTAGAGTCCTGGGTGAATTTGTCATGGAAAACCCGCACTCTTGCCAACGGTTGTATTGCTGTTCATGCAATACAAATGAGGGGAAGGGAGAGTTATCAACTCTCATAGACCAGCGTGAAGGGGTAAATTTCCGAAGGGACGAACAGAATGTCCAATCTCCGGTGCTTGTTGAGCTTGTCGTTGTCGTGGAGAAAAAGTTTCGCCAGACCCATCCATATCAAATGCAAAAGTGCCTGGGTCTGGAAAGTTGTGATGCTAAAATGTGACTGGTGGGCGGACTGCAATACGCAGCCAAGCATGACAAATTTTTAAGCTACTACTGTGTTTCGTTTTCCGCATGGCAAACTGCGTTTTTGTGTGACAGGAAAGAGGCCATTTTCCTGCTCATGCATTACAGATTTATGAGTCACGCCAGACAAGCATGACAAACTTGCATTCTTCCAGACCCAGACATATTTGCATTTGATAGTCCATTTCAACGACCAGTTGTTGGAACTTGTAGAGGAATCAGAATTAACCTTTTGTATTGCAGCTCCGTGTAGTCTGCTGGAAGGGGAAAAAGTTAGGCTCGGGGTCGACGACGTCGACGAGGGTTTATTATTCAAAGAGGACGAGGATGAAGTTGACGAGCGACCGGCTTTTATTTTTATACTACCCTTGTTATTGTTTTTCCCCGCCGGTATCAAATGCAAAAATGTCTGGGTCTGGAAGGTTGCAACTTGTGATGCTGTCTTTGGAAGGTAAAGAAAATCTGTATTGCATGACCAGCAAGAGGGGTTCAGTTTGTGCTGCGCGGAGTGGGCATGTCTCATGCGGAATACGCATCAGAAGGACCCTTAAGAACCTGTGATGTTAGTTCATGCATTACAGGCATCATGGGTTATGCAAAATATGCATCACAAACCTGGCAATCTTCCAGACCCAGACATTTTTGCATTTGATAGCCGGTGAATACGAACTATTTCCGTAATTCTCCAATTCCACCGACGAAGCCAAAGTATGGGAGTGTCAGGATCGAAATCGACAAAATCAAAATATTTGTAATGCGTAAAATGTAGGGCACAGAAGGCCAGTGTTGGAGAGGAGGCAAATATGACCGATTGCAAGCCTGTTTAGCCCTAAAAATGAATTGCCAGAGTAGCATGACAGGAGCGGTCTTATTTGCCCAAACAGCATGACAGACTGGATTTTGGCGCTCCCGAAATTTGTCATGCTCCACTTGGAAACTGAGGCCCCAAGTGGCATCGATTTTATGCATCACAAACTATTTCGATTTTGGTGATTTCGATTCTGACGCTTTCATACAAAGTTTCCGTCAAATACCCGGTTTCTGCCAACAAGGCTAAAAATCCCTGGAAAACCTTCTTCGGTTCGAGAGTGGTTTTGTGGTTTTTCATAGTCAAAACTAGATCGATATCGCCGTTTTTCTTTTCCCCCCGCCGGAAGGAGCCGGTCACTTCGCAGGAAAATTGGAGATCATTTAATATAATTTGGCTACTTTTACTGTTAGTGCTGGTACTATCCTTCTTCAACACGGCACTCAATTTCTCCACTTGTTTTTTCAGAAACACAACGTGCTGCTCGGTCTCTTGTCGCGGGATGTCTGCGTTGATATCGTCGTAGTATTCCACGCCAATTTTCTCCGTCCGGGTTAGAACATTGTCGGGCAATTTCAGCAAGTCGGCCAGACTTCTTACCTTGTAACTGTTCACGAGCTGCTGCGCCCGGACGCCGCCGAATCCATGGATCTTCTGCAGCTGTTGATCAAATGCAAATATGTTGTCTGAGTCTGGAAACTTGTAATGCTGCGCTGGGAATAGTGAATGCGCTGCATTGCTGCACAGCCAAGCACGAAAAATATTTGCGCGCCTGAGTGTTGCGGTTTCCGCATAAAAAACTGCGTTTTTGCATTACAAGCAAGAGGGTCTCTTGCTCTTCTTGGACATGCATCACAAACTCTTCAGTTATGTCAGACAAGCATGACAAACTTTGCATCCTTCCAGACCCAGACAGTTTTGCAATGTATACTGTTGGAGAATCTGCGACTCCTTGGACTCTTTGATCTTTTTCACTTCTGGAAGGTCCAGATCCTGGCTGTTTATCTTCTGACTACTTCCCGCTCCTGCGCTACTACTATTTCCTTGCTGGCTGTTCGCTTGTTTAATACTATTGCTGTCCACACTGTCGCTGCGCTTTCGTTTGTTTGTTGAAGCAGGGGATAAAGAGGTAGAAGCACTGGTAGCCTTTGATGATGCGGCGGAGAAATTTTTGATAATCGTCACCATCCGCTGCCGGATCGACCCGGTTTTGCTCAACCCCGGAACATTGTCGAGATCCTTTTCCGTCTTGATCGCCCCGACCGCGTTGGAATCTTTCAGTGACTGTAACACCTTGTTGTAGGCCCGGACGCGAAAGGTGTCGTTGCGCGTCTTGTGGTCGTTCGCGAGAAGCTGGAGTTGCCGGATCAGTTCCGGTTTGCAGTCGGACATTTTTGATTTTGGAGTGATACGATTAGGTAATATACACCAGGAGCGCAATCAGAGGGTGGAATAAAGTAAAAACATATGTATAGGAAAGTAGGGGGTGACTTCGGCTGTGACACGTAAAGATAAAGACTGAGAACAAAGAGGAGGAGAAAAACACCAGAAGTGACTGGCTGTAGTGTGAAGTGGTGTAGCTTTAGTGTCGCGTGCTTTTATTCACCATAGTGTCGATTTGCATGCTCTGGAGCTTTATTGGCTTTAGCGTCGATTGTGATCTACACCGAACAACACATGAGGGCAATTCCGATTGCTTATCGTCGCCGAGACGGACGATCTACTTGGAAGTACTTACTATACTTCATACATACACCGACATTATTGCCAAACCTCGTCGACTTGCACAAAAACAACCACACCGAAAAGTAGCGATAGCGAATCATGAGTCAGACAGATTGAGAACCTGTACCTGACCGAACGAAGGGCGATGGTGTCATCAATGACATAAACCGAATGGAGCTACGGGAAGAAAAGCGTAATCCAAATTCGACCATCTCGCGCAACCGCAACCAGGTCACGAGGATGCGTTAAATAACAAAAGAACAGAACTGCACAGCATGAGTGCCAGTAACCGACGATGGCCGACACAACGCCACTCGGATTCTTGCTTGTTGAAGCAAGCAATTAGTACTAGCATTGCCTTTCAGACAAACCGATGTTGGGAACAGCAACAGACGTGCGAATGAGAATTTATTCGTCTTTTATCACAAATCCTCACTGTCACTCCTCCACCTGCAGCGCAGCCAGCACTTCCGCGATTTTCGCGAAACACTCCTCGTCCGGTTCCGGATACAACGGCCCAGCCGAGTTGTCCTCCGTCAATCCCAAGGCCTCCGGGATGAACACCAGCGCCATTCGGTCGTCCACATCCCCTCGGTTGACAAATTTCTTCTTCTCTATCGACGGCAGCTCGACCAGCGACGGGTGTGGGAGCTTCTTGTAGGCGCCGATGAGACGGGTGAGAAACTCTTTACCTTCGGTTTGGTATATGATGAATTCGGATTCGGTTTGTCATGCTGAACTGCAGTGTGTAAGGACTATCATTATGTTCAAATCTGCATGACAAAGTATAAGTAGCCCTAATTGTAATTACCGCTTATCGCGTCTCGTTTCTGCAGCGTCTGGCCCTCTTCTAATATCCTGAGCAAAAACGTACCCACGCCAGAGTTGTAATGCAGATTTGCAAAGACAGGAAGACTTGTAACGCGCATCCCCATGAGAGCCATTTCCAATTGTGTTTTGGAATTTGTGATGCTGTGAACAGGATGAGCAGATGAATCTGTGATGCGGCTGCACTTGCTAACCTGCACTACTGCATAGTGCAACTTGTCATGCGTGACTCACAAAACTCCTAGGTTTGTGTTGCAAAATCCCCATCCTGACTCTGGTGTGGGTATGTTTTTACTCAGGATATCTAATGTCCTTTCATCCGTCCCCTCGAGGTTGGAGATGAATTTCCATGCCCGGACCGCGAAAGCTCGTCTTTGCACTACTGCAATGTCCTGCTCAACACTGGTGATACCTAGTTGTGTGTTTGCGCAACACAGATGAACCGCGTGAATCTAATAAAGTACTTCAAGTGTATTCCTGCGAGGACTCTCATAGTATTAAAGACAAAAGTCGTTTTTGTTTTACCAAACCACTACAACCAGCTAAACTTTTATGTCTCATTTTATACTTTTCCCCAACGTCACCAGATCCTGTCCCATGGCGGTGTTCGATTTTCTCAAAAAATCGATCTCGTCCCATATCGGATCTGGCTGGGATCCGTAGAAGTCGAACAAAAGTTTCAAAATCCCGGTCTTTTCCTCGGTCGACAGCGGAAACTTCTCACTTGTGAACGCCTCGTGCTCGCGAAGGGAAATGACGAGTTTCAGGAGAGAGTCCGCCGCACCGGAATGCACCAGAAATTCGCGGAATTCCTTGTCTTTTCGTCGGGCTTTTTCTTCCTTCAGAGTTTTGTCAAGGGAGGAGGAGGACGCCTGCTCCAGGCCCTGCAGCACGTGGAGGTCCATTTTTCTTTTCGAATAGTTATGCCCTCTTTCTGTACTTACATACAGTAGTAACAGTGCGCAAAGGAAGATCAGCTGCAGTTTCGACCACCTCTGCAATCCAGAAGATTCATCTGGAGCTTCACTTACATTATCAGCGACTAACGGGAACTCGACCATTTCAAGTTACGGCAAGAATAGTAGTTACATGGCTTCGACATGATCCTCTCATCTTTTCGATACCGACGACGCAGGCAGGGCGCGTGCATATCCTTCTCTCTCGACGTCACAAAAAAGCCCACATCTGCTTCCCTCAGTCGCTCTGTGTCGCACTGGACTGCCGAATGCAACTCTACGAATGACGAAGGTCGTGAAAAAAGCCAACACCAGAAGCGAAATCTTCAGAGGGGCACATAATCGTGCCGGGCACAAAAAAAGCACCACTTTAATATTTGAGCAAACCTTGTTAAGAGGGAAACGAGGTAGTGGCGTTGCGATTGCTGCGTCTGTCCGTACAAGAAGTGTTTTTCTTCGTGCACTTCTATCAATGCGGTTGTAGGCAGTGCCGCGTGCACTTCGCCGGTGGCATACTAGACTTCTCTTGTAACAAATCTGCTTAAAAAATGCTCCAGTACAAAAGAGTTCTTGCACGACATTGGGTTCTTTTGCTGTTGAAGGTCGGTACAGAAAACATTCTACCTGCTTTCAATACACTTGACTTGGAGTGCAAATTTGAATTTCTCTTTCTGTAATTGTGGGCCTCGAAATATAAAACAGACCAACAAGTAAGCAAAGTTAATTTTGATGCGTCAGGTCGTTTTATCCTACTCACATCAAGTATTAGATTTCGAATATTACGAGGATAAGAAGCTACAACGCAGGAATCCCATAATCTTGGTCTTACGACAGCCCCGTGGCCGGCGGAGCGCCTCCTGCAGCTACACCCGTCGTAGTACCTGCCGCTGGACTTCCTCCTGCTGTTGGTGCGGCGGCCGCGGACGCCGCTGCGCTGGTTGGGGACACACTGTTTGCGGCCAGGCCATTCTGCCCCGCCCCGGCGTTCTTTGCGTCCATGTGGTCTTGCGTGGTATGCTTTGCAAAAGCATCGTACTAGTACTAGACTACTACGCCGGCGTCCAGGACGCCGGCGATAGGTCGTCTAGTAAGTCTAAATGTAAACACCCAGGAAAAAACTTAGCGAGCATGGGGGTGCAGGCTAGTCGAAAGAGTCTCGCCATTGAGGATCTGCTACCTAGCGCAAACGCGGCCACTATGTATTAGAAACCCGGCGGGCGGTTTTAGCATGGCAAACCGGGCCCGCGGTTGCTAGCAACGCCCCTCCCTAGTAGCGGCCCACATTGGAGGGCGCGCTCGCTTTCGTTCCCTGAGCTCAGCCCCTAGCTAGCTCGCCCCCACCCGGCCGCGGGCCTTGGCCTGATTGCCCTCGTGTGCGGTGTCTCATTTCTAGACAGGACCACCCGCAGCGCACCCCCTGCCGTTTCGCCGGCCCCTTCATTCTAAAGAAGCCCGCCCGGTGGGGCCGCTACCACAAAAAAACTCCTAGAACGGCCTCCCCTACGTACTACTCAGCCCCTATGGAGCGCCCTCTAATCTATAAGGAAAAGAAATCGGATTCGGAGCCAAGAGGAGCTCCACTGTTGTGCTATTTCCCGCCCGCGAGGACGGCCCCCGCAATGCCAGTCCTTTTCTTCAGCGCGTCTTCGCTGCAGCTTTCTAGGTGGGACTCCTGGCGACAACTTCTAGAAGCGCGCCCCCTGCTAGTCATTTTCCACGGACGGCCCTGCTGTAACCTACGCGGCCGAAATATAAACATGACCAAAAAGCACAGCGCTGCCCCAGACCTATCCCCAGACCCCCCCCCCCGAGATCTCCCCAGATATCTCCCCAGACATATCCCCAGACACCTTCCCAGATACCCCCCCAGAGATATCCCCAGATACCTTCCCAGATATCCCCCCAGATACATCCCCAGATATATCCCCAGATATATCCCCAGACATATCCCCAGATATATCCCCAGATATATCCCCAGATATATCCCCAGATATATCCCCAGATATATCCCCAGATATATCCCCAGATATATCCCCAGATATATCCCCAGACATATCCCCAGATATATCCCCAGATATATCCCCGGGGCGTTGCGCTTGTGCCCTTTGGGTGGTGTTTGCCTTAAGCTTCGCAAGGGGCGCTCCCCTACTTTTCGTTTTGCCGGATGTCATCGCCCCCCCCTACCCCCCAAGCGGGGTCGGGGTTTGGGGGTGGCCAGAATAGGCCTGCTAAAAACCGGCCCGGCGTTTTTTTTTCGATTCATTTCCTTGAGCCAGTTGGCCCGCGGTAAAGTCCGCTGGGTTTTGTTTATTCTGGGACGCGCGCCCCTTAGCCTTTTTCTGGCATGCAAGCTTCCGGACGTTGCAACGCCTCCACCGCGGGCCGCAACTTGCAGCGCAGGCCGCGAGGGCTGTTAACAACGCCTGGGCGGCTGGCGTTGCAAGTTGCAACGCCAGGATTTTTGGTCCCCACACGGCATGCAGGATTTTTGTTCCCCACAGTGCCAGTTTTTTTGTTACCCGTGTTCCCTTAGAAGCTTCCCTTAGGAGCTTCGTCTAAAAGCTCATTTAAGGGAATCATCTAGAAAGTGATCTCCCTACTAATCATTTTCTAAGGGAGCCCCTATAATCTATAAGGCAGAAAAATCCGACCAAAAATTCTCTATTGTTATTTTATAAATTGCATCACAAATTTGTCCAGCATGAGAAATGGAATTTGTAATGCGGATTTGTCTCAGGAAGGAGATTTGTAATGCAGGACTGCAATAGCAATTACTACGAGTGCGATACTTTTGCAGTTCATACGTGGAGGCCATCGAGGATTCGGCGAGAAAGGGGTCGGACGCGAGCTTTTTCTTCAACGTTTCCGCGTTCATGACACCCTCCGGATGACAGCTGTACCACATTAGGCTGAAAAGCGTGCCCACGGCGATGGAGACAACCTGAGATTTCATTCGTTGTTTCGCTTTTGTTTTCGATTTGAATATTGTCAGATGTTGTAGATTGCTTTGTTTGCGATGCACAGAGACAGACAGGTACAGCGATGCACTTTCCATTTCCAATCAGTTTATTCATGCATGACCACAAACTTCTTCACTATACCGTTAAGAAAGCGAACGCCCCTGCTTTCCCGAGTAGGTCATCCCAAATTCCTGACCGGTTTGTGCTGCTGCCGTTGAACGGCCGGTTCTCCTCGGCGGGCCGGACCATAGTGCGAAGTGTTCAGAAGTTTGGTAAAAAAGAATGGTGTATACTTACTTTTAGAAACAATTACAGTGTGTTATTGGGGGCAACATCAAATATAGGTGAAAAAAACAGAACGTCTACTTCACCTGAAGATTGAGTAGGAAAAGAGCGAGTATTGTTTCTATTCGTTATTTCGAGCGCGGCTAAAGACGACGACTAGCACTACTTACGTTGCACGAAGAGCGACTGTGTTGACCGAGAGAAAATAAATCACGAACGACTTGCGTTTCTTGTGTCCCCGCGAGACGATGTACGATTTTGGACGACCGATCAGATGAGGTTTTTACGTCGCGCGACCTATCCATCATACGCAAACAGGGAACCGATACTTTGTTTAAAATCCATTTCCATTGCGATTCTTACGCGCGTGGCAATAAACCGAGGCAATTTACGATTCTGATGCACGAGAGTCATCACCGAATTCAATATTTCTGTTTCCATGAAAACGACAGACAGATTACCGATGAAGTGATGCAGGCCGCTGCAGCTACAAACAAGTAATCGTAGGCACCGTGGGTGCTAGCAGGAACATGAGGCACTTGCGGTTTCCGGTCTGCAACGACTCAACGTTCGCTTCCTGAAAAGCAAAAGCAAGGGCGCGTTGCTTCAGATATTGTCGCTTTACTTCCGCACAAAGCGCATGGATGATCTTCGGAAAAACATTTTCATGTCCGTGTGTCGCGTTGGTCGTGGGATTTAACATTTCAATTGTCGCTAGTGATTTCAAGATATCGACGCATTATGTGGTGTGGGACGTGGTGCGTGTGTGCAGCTCCAGCTTTTGAGCTTCAAGCTCGGCTTCGAAACCGATTACAACCGAGCACCGCACTTTAATACTATTCCGGGAAATAGTAATTCACCTTCCAGCTGTCCTCATCGTTAGTACTCTCCCCTCCTGTTCCTTGTTCCTGCACCGGTTTATTCCTCAACTCCAGCATTAATTTCAGCGCTTTTTCCGCCGTCGTGAAGTGCAATATCGCGTACGCAGCCTTCGCACTTGTCGTACGGTAATACTGCGCGTCCTGGATATCTTTCTTGTTCTTCTCCTTCAGCTTTTGGAAGGATTCTTTGAATTCTTTGTTCTTTTTCGTACCTAGCTGCAGCGCCGTTTGCTTCACTTCTTCCTTCTTCTTTGGTGGTACACCTCCTGCACTTGTACTAGTGGCCGCTGCTGAAGAAGAAGCAGGGGTATAAGAAGAAGTAGATCCACCTCCGGTAGCTGTTTGTTGTTCCGATATCCTTGGCGAACGGAGAAGATTATTGTCTGTTCTGGCCTTGTTCGAGGAGGTTGCGGAGCTGCTCGTTGTGGTGGAAGTCGAGGGGTGTTTTTGCATAGTAGCAGAACCGTCGTTATCCCGTATCCCTCCTTCAGCTGGCTTCAGAACAATGGGTGGCGAGGCGGCGTTAGCCGCGCCGTTGGTTTCGTCATACACCCCTCCATCCTCCATAGCACAACTTGGATCCCACTCCCTATACCCCCGCTCATGCAACCGGTTTCTTCTCCTCCGCGCCCTTTTTGACAAGGCCGCGTCCGGGAGTAGATGGAATTCCTCCTCTGTCATGTGGTTTGCAAGCTTGATTGGGGGCGGATTGTCCTTGTCGAAGTTGTTGTTCTTTCTGTTGTTTCTATCTCGGTTATTTGAAAACTCCTTTGGCTGCTCTGGCTCGACGAACCGTTTTATGCCGAGCTCCAAGAAATCTGCGTCGGCGGCTTCCGCGCGGCACACGGGGCAGACGGGGTTCGGGACAGAAGACCAGTACTCGGAAACGCAGTCGCGGTGCATCTGTATTTTCAATATCGGAAGAAATGTACTTATTTGATATATCGAGGAGAAGTTCTTCACATTTGTATCGCATAGCAAAGCATCGGAAATCATACAACTTGTCGGACCGCATGTTGTGCCTACGAGCAACAACCCATGCGCATTCAATCATTCATCAAAGCGTAAAAATTATGTCACTATCACTTCTAATCAGTACCGCATGAAAGCACACACTCGGCCGGAAGAGCAGATTCACGCCTTTTCCACCACTCGCCGCCATTTCCTCCTCATCGTGCAAGGGGAGTAGACAGACCGGGCAATCCCCTCGTAGTTCTTCGTTCATGGAGGTTAGTAAATCCACCGCCAAAGGGACGCCGTCTAAAAAGGAGTCCGTCTCGGTGGACAGCCGGTGGAGGAGCACTTTCACGTCTTCCTCATCCATATTCACGGACTTTACGACTTTCCAATGCGAAGGTTGAGGTTGTCCTTTTGCAGAATTCGTATTCGATGGCGAGGGATTCTTGGACGAAGATGAGGAGGAAGATTTCCCCTTGTTCCTTGGAGGTTGTACCGCAGCTGGCGCGGGCTTTATCTCACAACAATACTCCACCGTGCATTGCAAGAACTCCAATCTCGTATCCCCCCCGACGTTGGGGGAAACGTCTATCCTTGCCTTCGTAATCTTCCCCGGCTGAGAGATTGCATTGTCTTCCACTGTCGTCAGATTCCGGTCGGGATACATAGAAAGCAATATGTCGATCTGTTCCTCGAAAGGAAGGGAAAGATCGTCATCGGCCGGGTCGAGCATGTTGTAGTTTCTGATGCGGAATGAGCAGCTTCAATAGTTGTGGTAGTTGTACCTTATCTTCATACGAAATTCTCGCGACTACATCACTGTTGTATGTAGTTCATCTCGTCGTGATTATGTGCACCTACTCCTCTAATTGCACTTGCTACACTGCTTCGATACTACAATGTAACACAAACCACCAAGCAGTACACCTGCAACTGCACACAGACACATTACTGAATAAAGCAGCATATTGATGTTCTTGGCCGATACAATCATATACCAATTTAACCGCCATCGCATCAATGTTCCCTGGTTGTGGTTTGCAAAATAACATAAACATTGGAAAGTGTTGAATTACACCTATAGCGAAAGTTTGCAAGGGAGTCAGTAGCAGGGAAACCCGAACTGCATCTGCATGATGATCAGGCTATTGATTCGCTATCAACTTCTTATTTCTGATTCTGGATCGCGTGCAAGGAGTAGAGTTTACCTTTGATTTCATAGGGCCAATTTGAAAAAATCTCTTGTATCTTCTTTGCTGGAACTGGCAGCGAAGAGGATGCGTTGGTCATTTTTGCAGCCTGCGGTTTTCTGATTGCCAAGGAGAGAACAGCAGCTTCGCATAGAAGAAAGAAAGAAAAACGAAAACCATGCGACGGCAGGATGTTGTGAATGTACGTGTGTTATACTCGTACCTAATACGGTCGCTGAAGAAAAAACTACGTCGCCGTTGCGATGAAACGCATGATCGTACAAACCACAGTGCACAAGAAAAGTAGTCGCTAGTAAGTAGTCCATTTCTCATACTGAAAACGCTGGTATCAAATTCGGAACAAACATCAAAAGCAAGATGGGTTATTGTAGAACTATTTGTTTATTGCTTGTAAATTTTTCTCAACTCCTTGCTCATTCCGAAAGCCCAGCGGAATTTTTCCATCGCCTCCCGGTTTTTTCCTTCTTCCGCCAGCACTTCCGCTTCTTGATACAAAGAAAAAGCCTCTTTGTCCTCTTCCGCAGTCAACAGGGGATTTTTTCTCCTGAACACCAGATCAGTCCGGATGATGTACTTGCTCCGACTCGGCAGCCCCTCGTGCATCAAGCGGTGGTAAAAGATTAAAACCCGCCCCGCCTTCGGAATGACCGTGTCCGCGACGTGTTTTCTGTTCCCGATAATCCGGTTGTCATCTTCGTTTTTCTCCAACGCTTCCCAAATTTGCTCGTCGCGGTAGATATTCGTGCCGCCGGAATTGTTCAAGAGGTGGTCGTTTGCGAGGATTTTGGATTCGGATACTCGTTGTATATTAGTGGTCGCTGAACCTCCGACGATGTCATTCAGAGCAGGAGGTCCAGCACTCTCTGCGGTCATTTTTGGACGATGGCAGTAGATAATTGGCGACGATGCTCCTCTTTCCCTAGAACTTCTAGAGGAAGATTTTCTTCTTCTGCTTCTTCCGCCTCTGGCCTTTGTTTCAGTGTCTTCTGAAGATTTTCTGTCACCACAACTCTCCTCCCCGTCCGTGCTGGGACGGGTCTCCGGAGTAGCAGATCCTTCATCACGACCTTCCTGTTGGTCTACATGTAGTTGTTCATCTTCTTCTTCATCTCCCTGCACGTCGACCCCTGCACTAGTATTAATATCGAAGTCATTCAAATACACCAAAACAGTGTACAGTGTCCTGGTATTGAAGTCAAACATGGTCGTGCCGTCCGTGTGCGGGGAGAAGTGTCCGCCGTTTTTGTACCTCGCGAAGAGCCAGGTTGGGTTGATCGAGTCTAAGAGCCATTCGCCCTGAAGATCTAACTCGTAATCGTCGGCGGTTTCGTCGAGAAAGGGCTTGTAGCTCGGAACACGACAAGTAGGACAAGCACCACGGGCGCCTTTCTGGTGGTCTTCATCATCATCTCCACTTTCGCTGGAGGCATAATTCGTCCGATCGGTTATCCGGTCGAACAGAATTTGCGATAGGGAAGAAGGTTTTTCGGGTTTTCTTGCGTGACTGGATGAAGCTAAAGCCGGCCCATCACAAACTTCGTGTTCAGTGTCAGTAGGCCTTGCTCCTCCTGTAGTAGTTCCCTGAGCGCTGTCGTGTGTAGATCTACTACTTCGACTTGCTTCACCAGCACCACCATCTTCTTCACAAAAAGCAGTTCTCACCTCGATGGTATCAGCCCTTCGAAACGGCGTTCCATTTTTTTCTTCCATGTTCCAGGAAGAAAACCCGCCTTCAGCCACTGAAATGTCCTGCTCGCAGACCTTTATCAGGTATTCGCACTCTTCTTTAGTAAAAACGTTATCCAAAACCACCCCATCTAGGTTTTCGTTTAGCGGCCGGATCTGGATTTTGGGTCTCGTATCCGTGTCTCTCTCTTCGTCTTCTCTTTGGTCGACGTCCGCATGACAGGTTTCGTCTCGATGAGAGCTAAACTTCGTCAAATCGAAGTAGTCGACCGCTTTTACGACTTTCTTGTCGATGACCCGGGAGAATTGGGCAGCGGACATGTTTTAATATTTTTACGTGCTCTTACTTGCTGGGGTGCTGGTTTCTTGCTGACTCAAAGTTCACTTTCTGGTACTAGTTCTTCTTCTTTCGTGTGGCGACTGAAAATACATCGAACCGATAGTACCATAGATCAACCCTATCACATCGACAACCTCCCTGGGAGAAACGAAGAAGCAGGCTGCTATGAAATTCATGTCAAATCACAAGATGCCACCACATGATAGTAAGTAACCAAGGGCCAGCGCTCGGGCCAACAGGTTGGGTCTGCACATTCACTTTTTCATTTGATTTTGGTAGCCCTAGGATACTTTACGTCTCGTGAGCGGAAGTGGCTCCTCAGCATCTCCTATCACGATGATCCTGCTGTGTGGATCTACAGCGGTGGCCACACCGGCACCAGGACCGGCAGTCAGTGTATTTGGTTTGTGGAACGAGATTCAGATCTTCATTTTTTTTTTCCACGTGCTCATGTCTCCACACAGAGCACGTCGACGAACAGGATCATTCTGCACCTGCTGCGGGACGGAACTAGGTATGTGTATTACCATTTTCACCTCCATGCCCGGCCCGTATTGTGTGAGGCCGGAACAATTTGGGATAACACATATATAAGCCTCTTTCTTTGGAGCCCAATTTTCATACCAGTTGCGTACAATCTTAATCCGATCATTTTATTCTGATTGATACAATTGTGAAATCAAAATAGCTTTTGCGTTTCGCAATTTTGTGATACCATTTTCAAAATAACCCGATACACAGTGGAGAAAGCAATAGACTTTCATAAATTTGTTTCTTGTCGAAAAGTGCCCGAGTAGAAAGACAGGCATACCAGTAAAGAAGTCGATGTTATACTTGAGACACGAAAGAAGTAGAGAAAGACTACACTGATGAAAAACAAAAGGTGAGAAAAATTAGAATTACATGTCGTTTTAGTCATGCTTTTTGCCAACACTTCTTATGAGTTTTTTGGATTGATGTCATACATTTCGATAAACAACAATACTGTTGAGAAGAAAAGTCACTTAAATATGGAAAAAAAGTACAGTAGTTCTCATGATCTGTGATGCTGCAACAACAGCAGTACTAGTCGCGGTCTCGTATCGTGATATTACGCTTGTACCAAAGTGGCACTCGGCATTTATTTACGTGTCGATGACTTCACGCGCAGGGATTACGCCAGTGTATTCCCCGCGCTAGCAGACTCGTTGATATTTCCTATTTCAACAAATTCAGTCGCCATAATTAATAAAGGAGCCAAATGAATAAAATAACATGCGAAAAAGTTGTGTAGGCCCCCCTGCATTTCGTCAGGAACAGGATGGCGCTTTTCGATAAAACACTGAGCGTGCAGCAGAATGGCTACGCGCTCCTTCTTCTTGTGGCTGACATAAATACCGTACTTTATTTCATATCCGGCGAGAAGATACCAGCACAGGAGCAGGCTGACTTTTTTCGTCGCTTGGCACCTTTCTCTTCGAAACCAATTGAAACACTGGGTCGATGATCCGTGCACGTCGGACGGCAACCCAATAAGCAATCAGCGCATCCGCACCCAACGCCCCAAATCGAAAGAAGTACTAGCGTATCTCCCGTATGTTCCGTATGTTCCGATTTACTATCATTATTTGCTTTTCTCCTTATCGGTCCCACTTTGTGTCGCACTGCCCTCCGCCGCCTGGGCCCGCAGCCTGCCCAAATCTTCAAAACCTTTGTCGACATTCTTCGAGGGTTGCTTGTGGTCCCAAGACTGGTTCGGATTGTGGTGCTGGTTGTGCTGCTGGTTGTAATGGCTGTTATGTCCTCCTCCATAGTTGCTGTTCTGATGCTGCTGGTAGTTGTTGAGACCACCAGCACCTGTTCCGTATGAACCATCTTTCCCGCCGTATTGCTGTTGGTATTGATTCGACGGACCACCGCCATAGTTCATCTGGACGCTGTGGTCTTTTCCGTAACCAGACCGCTGGTTGGGGTTATGCTGCTGGCTGTTAAACTGCTGATGATGAGCAGTACTTGTGTGACCGCCCTTATTTTGGTTGTTCATCCCGTAAGACGACCCTGTAGATCCACCTGCATTGCTCCCATGATACTGATTGTTGCCATACTGATTGTTGTTCCCTGCTTGGTTCCCGTACCCGTGGGAGGTCATGCTGTTTTGATGATGTTGCTGCCCCGGATGTCCATATGATCCATCGTGGTTGTCGTGATAGTTATTAGTTCCAGCGCCGCCGCCTTTCTGGTTCCCGCCGCCAATATTGTTCAGCCCACCATAGCTACTCTGCGCACTAGAACCAGCAGCTCCGTAATTCTGATTTTTCCCGCCTGCAACACTCGAACCGCCATAATGCCCAGCCGTTCCGACGGCAGAAGCGGATGCAGTGCCTTTATTGTTGTTGAATTTCCCTGCGTGCGTTCCCGACGCCTGCCCAGCGGAGCTGCTGCTCGATGGGTGCTGGTGCCAGTTACTGTCACTACGGATACTGCGGTTGTCACCACTTCCATGCTGCTGCCCCAGGCTTCCAGCACCAAATTGCTGATTGTAACGCGACCCACCACCACTTCCTTTGTGCTGATTCGTCGTAACGTCTGTCCACTGGATCTGCTCCTGCTGCTGTGCCATCGTGTTTTTGCTTCCTTGTGTAGGTCCGGGAAAGCCCCCAGAGCCCGACTGCTGCTTGCCTTGGTTGTATAATTGCTGCTGGTAGGCAGCTCCTTGAAGGTTCCCGCCGGCGGATCCAACCGGCCCCGAGTGCTGACTGTAAGTCGCATCGGAAGACCACTGGGAATTCTGGGAATATGTAGCGTGGAGACCACTGCTGTTCGGACCAGGATTTCCGCCGCCGCTGTGGGGATTATGATGTTGATGTTGTTGTCCCTGGTGTAGTCCTCCACCAGCACCTCCTCCGAAAGAACCCTTGTAGCTGCTGTTCGCATTGCTCGTCGCTTGCGCGCCTTTAGAAGAAGTGCTGTGTCTGTTGCTGTTCATCCCAGCACCTGTTGTTCCTCCGACAGGCGCGGGGGGAGGGTTAAAGTTGTAATTGCTATTATTCGACGCACTGTTCATCCCACCACTAGTACCCTGCTGGCTGTTCTGATTATTCAGTCTTTGCTGCAGATTATTACTGTGCTGGAATAAACTAGCAGCAGAACTGCTGTTGCTCTGTTGCAACGCGTTAGAAGTACTACTGGTCACGAAGTTTGGAGCTGGTTTGTTGTTCGCTCGAGGTGGCGGTCGGTATTCGTACTGCTCATCCAGGTTTTGGATGCTGTTGCTTTGCGTGTGCGTTTGATTTGTTCCTGTTCCACCTGCGTTGTTGTTCTTACTGTTTGTATTTGCGTGGTACATATTTTGCTGCCCATGAACAAGATGTGCTGCTGCGCTACTGCTGCTCTGGGAACTAGACCCGCCAGCGGTAATATTACCAACTACCCCCGCATTCATGTTGTTACCTTGCTGCTGATTATTTCCTCGCATGATAGCATGTACGCTATTTATTCCCGAGTTGTTGTTTATTCCACCAGGAGCTGCACCACTACCTCCGCCCATGAAGTTTGCCGTGCTGTTGTTCTGCTGCTGTTGCTGCAGCATGTGCGGCGGCCGGTACTCGTACTCCGCGTTCTGGTCAACCAAATTGTGCTGCTGCTGCGCTAGAGGTAATTGCGAGTTCAAACCCGTACCAGTACCGTGCAACAAATGTTGTTGCGGGTTCTGGTTCATGGACTGTTGATTCATCTGTGCGGTCTTTTATGCAAGAAAAAAACTGTGTAAGTGTAAGTCTGTGATGCAAAAAATGCAAAACAGTTACACTTGTCATGCCAGACACCCATGAAGTCCTCTTTTCATGTGTGTTTTCACGTACTAGCACTGCATGACAAACTTTCTCTCTCGTGCAGAGCAAATTTGTAATGGTGGCACTCCAAGAGACCTACACTAACACAGTTTTTTCCCTGGATATCTTTGCCGCGGCGTGCTGTATCAACTGGTTCAGCTGCTGCTGCCGCTGCTGCGCGGCCTGGGCCTGCTGCAACTGCTGCTGAGATTGTTGCTGTTGCTGGCCCTGGAGCTGTATCAAATGTAAAAATGTCTGGGTCTGGAAACTTGTGATGCTGGGTGGCGTCTCATGATGAGGCCACAAGTGCTGGCTCAGCATGACAAGTCTCTGAGTTTCTAGGTGTTGCCTATTCTGCATGACAAAGAACTGCGTTTCTGCACCACAGAAAAATGGAGCTCCTGGGTAACGCGCATGTCAGATTTAAGAGTCATGCCAGACAAGCATGACAAACATACATTCTTCCAGACCCAGACATTTTTGCATTTGATAAGCTGCAGCTGCGCTTGAATCAGGTGGGCCACGGAGGCTGAGATGATTTGTAGAAGAACAAATAGAGCTTCTTTGTTGAGCTTGTTCATTCTGCACAACGTGATTCTATGATTTTTGCGAATCAAGCATGGTAAAAAACACAACAGTTTTATCTGTTGCAAGTAGATGAAGCGAGGATTTAATTTGGCAAGAAGTTCATGATTTGTTCACGTTTACACAAACAATCGCACTTGTACCTGGCGTCGCCGCCGCCGCCGCAGCATTAGCGTTATTTCCCACGGCGGGTAGAGCCACCCCGGACTTCTCGAGCTGCGCTTTATGAGGGTGCACAACTCCTCTTTCCCCACATTTGTATGCTATGGCATGGCAAGCAATACAAACACCAACACAGGTGGATGCTGTGCATGACAAATTCATCATGCGCTGGGTGTAGTACTGTTTCAGTTTCCAGAATTTGTAATGCAGAGAGTGCCACTAGGCATAGTAACTGGATTCGACATTTTTGCATGACAAATGAGGGGGAGGGGGAGTTGTGCAGAAGTCTCATACGCTTGCAACTGCTGTCGGAAGGCGTTCGCGGTCGCCGTTTGCTGCTGTTGCACGAGTGGCTGCTGGGCGGTTACCGCAGCTGCGTTCAGCCCGCTGGTACTGCCCATGGCCTGGGCAGCTTGGTTCCGGACGAGCGCTTGTACCTGCTGTGAAGTTTTTTTAGGCAAGAGAAATCTGACAGACTACATCAAACGTGAGGGACGTGGTGTAGAACAAAGGCAATCCCAGAAACTTGTTGGGGTTGGCAGCCCGAATCTAGTATGATGATGATCTAAATCTACTTCGTCATCGTCTTCCCCCACTGAAATAATATCGTCCGAAAATCCTTTATCATACCGATTGCGCCGCCCCTCCTAGTTGCAGCACCGTGCCCGTGTTCGGGTCCACGTATTGATTTCCATACACAAATCCATGGGAGGCCGGTACCTGCTGCGGGGTACTCCCGGCCGTTTGCACCTGCTGCAGTTGGCTTTGCTGCTTCAACTGTTCTTGCTGTTGTATTATTTTTCCTAACAAAACTAAGACTAACACTGTTTGATGTAAGTAATCAGAAGGGAACTACGAACATCGTGTGGTACTACATCAGCGAGGGGCGAAAACAGGCACGCTGAAAGCATTCCTAGAAACCGGATTTTTTTGCCTAAAGTACAACTTATGCAACACAGCAAGACAAAAAAATCACATTACGAAGGGCTCCAGCTCCCGCCAAATTTCCATTTCTTCCTGATCAAAGGGTTTCAAAAAATTCTGCTCCCCCACACTCGTTTTGTAACCCCACGTCTCGTTGTGGCACATGATCTTGTCCTTTTATGAAATGCAAAAGCATCGCACTAGTAGAAATCGCATTACAAATTTCCTCAGCATGATTACAAATTGAATTTGCGATGCTGATTTGCCTTGAGAAAGAAATTTGTAATGCATAAATGCAATTACTACGAGTACGATACTTTTCCACAGGATACCTCTCTTATCAGGTTGATCATCTGCTCTTTTGTTCTTGTCGGATACGCCTGCGCCGACATCCCCGAGCCAGTACCAGACGCAGGCTTTTGCGCTGCTGCATTCTATCGCAAGGCAAAATCCCCCCTCCCCATATTGAAGAGGTAGGTTTTCGAAAAGTTGTGTTGCTGATTTGAGGTCACAAATCACGTTTGTGCTGCAAGAAGACAAGGGCAGCAGCTTCCGTCCCATTATGGAGCCGGTTTGTCATGCTGTTGAGCCAACATCACGGACACTTTTCATGCTAAGCGCCTAAGTCAAAGCCTCTCTACTCAGGCTTGATATGGGTCTGCAGTCCTCTCCAGCAAGACAAATGCGACTTGTGTACTCAGATACTGCATCACAAATTTCGTTTTCGATATGGGGAGGGGGGATTTTTCTTTTTGATACATTCTGCTGCCCATTCAGCGCAGCAGCGTTTTGCTGCTGGTTTTGCTGCTGCAGTAAGCTCGACACTGCCGCGGCCGCAGCGAGTGTTCCTTGAGGGCTACTAGAAGTTGTTGTGCCCCCCGCTGCTGTTAAGCCCAAATTCGCCAGCTGCTGCGCAAGCATCCCCGCACTGAGGGCGGCCGCAGAATTTTGCTGCGCTTGTTGGGCTTGGGCTCCTCCTGCGGCGTTAATATTGCCGTTCGTGGCTCCTCCTGTGGAGGTGGTGCCAACCAAATTCATCCCCTGTTGTTGCTGCTGCTGTCCTGCAAGCAACTGGGCCTGCAGTTGCTGGGCAGCCGCAGCTGGGGTTACTAGACTGGTCGTTGCTCCAGTTATTGTTCCCCCGGTTGCATTCGCATTCGCATTCGCACCAGCACTCGACGACGACGTCCCTACCGCTCCTACGGCTCCCTGCTGTTGCAACAGAGCCGCAATCGCCTGCTGCCCACTTGTCGCCCCGGTTGCGGGGATGTGCAGCGCGGCGCTTATCGCCGCGCCGGCGGAGCTCGTGGAATTTGTTTGCGTGAATCCGGACCCGGAACTTAAACTCTGACTCGCGACGAATTGCGCCAGGAGGTGGTTATGCGCTTCCCGGTTCGCGCCACCTTGGGTGGTTGCGGACTGGAGGAGGGTGGAGGAGGTAGACGGGATGGTGTTTTGATTCGAGGAACTCGTGGCGCTGTTCGGGATTGCGGGAATAATGGTGGACGATTTGGAGTCCACCTCGGGGTTGTTGTGACCCGGCCCAGCTGTGGTGCTTTTGGTTTGAGACGATATTTTTTCACCAGCCGCTGTTGTTGTTCCAGCTGCTGCGGCTGCTGCGTCATCGGGTCGTGGCGGAGATGAGGAAGATGTGGCGTTTTTTGCAGTGTCGACACCTTTATCGCCAGCAGCAGCATCGCCAACAGCCGCACTAGCTAGTACGACCCCATCCTTGCTATTATTCGCACTCCCACTCGGGCCACTCGCTAACCCACTAACCTGCTGGCTTGCGGACTGACTACTCTGGTCATTATGCGTTGGGGTAGAGAACAAAGATGCGGATTCCGGGGTGTTGTAGCTCGATTCTGGAAGACCTAGCTGCTGAGTTGTCTCCTCCCGCGGCTTTGCGACCGGAAGTTTGGACAAGTCTGCCTTGTTTTCTCTTTCCACCTGATCGAGCTTCGCTTTCATGAGCATGTAGTCCACAGCCAGGTTGGCCTTCGACGTGACTTATGCATTGCAAAAGTATCCTATCGCACTCGTGAAAATGCATTACAAGTTCCACCCTCAGCATGAGAAATGAAATTTGTAATGCTGATTTACCTCGAGAAAAGAATTTGTAATGCATGATTGCAATACGAGTACGATACTTTTGCACAGGATATGACTGGTTTTTTGCTGTGTAACTGCTCCGAAACTGCCTTAGACTTCACTTCTAATTTCTCGGGACTGGAGCTTTCGTCGTCGTTTTTTCCGAATGTTGCTTTGTCATTTATTCCTCGCCCATTGTTCTGCAGAAGTTTAGTATTGTTGGACAAGTCCTCATTATTTTGTTCCTCGGCGCTGTCTTTAGAAGTACTGTTCGCCGTAACAGCACCGGACTTGCTATTCGGATCCTTTGACTCCTTCGAAGATGCACCAGCTGTAGTTCCTTTCTTACTTCCAGCAGTGAATCCCCCGCCCGTGGTATTACTATGAAAAATGCCCTCACCCCCAAAGTGTGATGCGAAGTCTCGAAATGAAAACTTTTTGTCATGTATGAAAGGAGTAGGCATCTTTCTGCTGCAGAGTCTCGGCGTAAACTGCAGCGCTTGCATGACAAGTGCCGCTCTTGCTGGGATCTTTTGCAATACAAATTTTTGCTATTCACGATTGGAGATCTGTGATGCTGGTAGATGCAAGAGGGCGAAGATTTCATTTGGAAAGGTTTGCAATACAAATGCTCCCAAGTTCGGGGGTGGGGGCATTTTTCATTGTAATACGTGACTCCTATCGCGGGCGTGTTAGTCGCGGAATTTGCCGTCTCTTTGGACGAACTGGTTCCGTAGCCCCCGGCTTGCAACTTTTGCAGCAAACTGGAAGTTGTGTTCCCGGAAGCATTTGTTCCACCCGCACCGTACAGCCCCAGCCTATTCGCCTGTTTGCTGAGACCGGGAAGGTTCCCAACCGCCGGGGGCTTGGGCTGCGGCTGGGGCGGCTGGTGTGATGTTGAAGACGATGCTTCTTTTTCTTTTTCCTTGTTTATTTCGTCCTGCTTGTTCTTTGCTCCTGGTCCTGCTTGCTGTTCTTTGCTTTGCTCCTTAATACTATTTGCTGGCGCGGCGGAGCTGCTGCTCGCGCCGCCTGCACGACTAGTACCGCTTGACGAGCTCGACGCGGAACTGGTTGGCCCCGGCACAGAGGTGGTTTTTTTCAAAACGTTTTTCGCGGATGATACACTGGCCCCCCCATTCGACTGCATGCTGTCCTTCCGAAACACAGGTACGCCCGGGGCTTGGGGCTGCTGCGCTCCGGAGATCATCAAATCATCAAAGAAGGAGGACGAGGAGGAAACGGAGGATTCCACTTGCAACAACGCGACGTTTTTCTGAATGTTCTGCACCATCGGTGCGGAGTTTATGTGGTGCAATGGGGACCTCGTGGGGGACCGATTGTGCTCGCTATCTCCGAGCTTATGCGTCCAGTTGTTCCGGCCGGACTGGTCCCCTCTCAGGTGGTATCCATTGCAAACATGTCTGGGTCTAGAAACTTGTGATGCCAAAGTGTGGATGATGGAAACGCTTTCGAATGCAGCCAAGGATGACAAATTTTTAGAACGCTTTCTCGTGCGCCGCCCGCATGAGAAGCTGCGTTTTTGTCTTGCAAAAGAGGCTGCGACTTGTTTTGGCGGTCATGCAATACAGATTTCACAGGAATGCAAGACCAGCATTACAAGTTTCAACTTTCCAGACCCAGACATATTTACAACGCATAGGTGGTAATCCGGCGATCCAAATTCGCTGTCCGTTTGCACTATGCAATGCAAAAGCATTGTACTAGTATAAATTGCATTACAAACTAGCCTAGCATTACAAATTGGATTTGTAATGCTGAATGACCTTGAGAAAGAGATTTGTAATGCATAAATGCAATCACTACGAGTACGATACTTTTGCACAGGATATGCACGGTGTTCTGCGTCCCGACCGACGCGGTAGACGCGCGGCGTTTTCGCCAGGGCGCTTGGCTATTGGTCGTGAAGCCGGAGGACTGGTGCGAATTGGTGAGGTTTAGGTTGATTTCGGAATTGTTGGTCGTGTTCGAAACCGATTTACTGTTTGTAGTATTATCCCCACCAGCAACTACTCCACCTGCGGTGTTCGATGGGTTGGTTCCGAACGCAAACGCGTTCGCAGTTGTGTTTGAAGCCGCTCCTGCAGCGTTGGAACTACTAGACGTTCTCAACTATCAAGTGTAAAAATGTCTGGGTCTGGAAGAATGCAACTTGTCATGCTGTTTTTGCACTCTAAGAACATTTGTATTGCATGACCAGCAAGAGGGGCACAATTTGTGCTACACGGACAAGGCATTTCTCATGCGAAAGGTCCATCAGAAAGCACTCTAAAAGTGTGCGATGCTAGGTCATGCACTACGGGCACCATGGGCCACGAGAAATATGCATGACAAATCTTGCATTCTTCCAGACCCAGACATTTTTGCATTTGATATCAACCCCAAGTCTTCAAACTGCTTCAACTTTTTATCCTTTGCCTCCCTCAGAGCCGACCACTGCGCGGTGTCTCTATCGGTGATCCCGTGGTTTTGCTTCGCCATGGCCGCTAACTTTGCCTCGCGTTCCGCCCGCTGCCAGGGCGGGGTGGCGTCCCGGTCTTATCAAAAGGAAAAGTCCCCCCTCCCCATATCGAAAACGAAAATTGTCATGCTGTATTTGAGTACACAAATCGACTTGTAATGCCAGAAAGCCAAGAGCCGCAGTTGTGGCCTCGTTTGTAGACAATTTGTCATGCTGCTTCCCACTTCCAGTTGCTCTCTGTCATGCTGAAGGCGCAAGGGTTTTCCACGCCAGCCAGCACTACACTCCGCATGTCTTTCCTTCTAGCATGACAAAGCTGATTTGTGACCACAAATCGGCATCACAAATTTCCGTTTTGATATGGGGAGGGGGGATTTTCCTTCTTGATAGGTCTTTTCGGTTCACGACCGTGGGGTCGTCCTCAATCGGACTGGCGTGCAAGATATGCATTGCAAATATCGATCTGGGTCCTCTGGAAGTGATGCATGTTGCGGATCACACAAAAGTCTGTGTTGCGTGACTTGCAAGAAAAGGCGCCCACTTCTGGCCATGCTGAGTGAGAGTGTACTTATTTCTCATGCAGAACACCAGGCATCACCAAGGGGCTGCAGACCCTGTGAAGATGCTAGGTCCTGCATTTTTCCAGACTTGGCGAAGCTTGGAAAAACTGCATGACAAACTCCTGGACTCATCCAGACCCAGACATATTTGCATTGGATACAAGACTTGCGTGCGGTTCCGCATGCCGCCTTGCTGCTTCTTGCGCTGCTCCAGGGAGGCAAATTCGAGCTTCATGCCGTCGTACCTGTACATCATAATCATAATAAAGTAAGTGGCAAAACTCGTGTACTTTTGGGGAGCGGGAGGCTTTGTCATGATGAGATATACCGTGCAGGTTGTGGTCATGAACTACTTGTTGCACAGCTGCAACACAGAATCATCAATCACGATGCCATGTTCTTAAATGAAAATGAATCGAATCAGCTTCATCAAATCAAAAGCTATAACTATACTCAGCCGCCAACTTTTTCTCCTCTTTGCTCAACTCCGTCCCCGCGTCCTTTTTCCGCTTCGCCTCGATTACTAACTGGAGTTGCTTCTTCTGCTTGGTCAGCATCGCTTCAATGTTTTTCACGGTGTAGGTGTCCCCAATGGGCTATCCTGTGCAAAAGCATCGCATTCGTATAAAAAATGCAAGTCTTGCATCACAAATTTTTTTCTGAACGCAAATCAGCATTACAAATTTTATTTCTCATGCTGAGGAAATTTGTAATGCATTTATACGAGTAAGATACTTTTGCAGTTCATATGGGCCCGGTGGGCGCTAACTCCGCGGGCCACGTTGGCTTGTCGAGTTATCCACTGCAAAAATGTCTGGATCTGGAACGCTGGCTGCACTTGTCATGCGAATTCCGGATAGTGCAAGAATTTGTGTTGCACGATTGCCAAAAGCTGTCCACTTTTGACCAAGTGGAGTGGCAGTTTCTCATGCAAGCGAGGCATGCTCGAGGTCGCGCGGAATCTCTCATGCTAGGTCATGCACTACAGACCTCACGCGTCCTGTAAAACCTGCATGACAAGTCTTGCAACCTTCCAGACGCAGAAATATTTTCAGTGCATACAAGTTGGTCAAAATCCAACGGTGTGGCCGTCAGCAGCTCGGGGTCGATTTTTTCCACTTTTTTGAAGTATCCTCAGCAAAGATGTCCCCACCTTCCCAGAGTTGTCCTGCAAATGCGCAATGACAGCAACACTTGTAATGCGCAGCTCCATGATGAGAGGCAAATGGCTTTCTCATGCGGCCTCCCTTGCCAACCAGCACTACACTGCAGATGGAAGCTTGTCATGCACAACTCCCAACGCTTGGAGATTTGTGTTGCAGATTTGACAACTTGACTATGGGGTGGGGACGCTTTTGCAAAGGATATGAAGTATTTCGTCCCGATCCAACCCTCGTCGCCAATGGTCAGGATCACACCGTTGGAACCTGGGTTAATTTTGACGTAAAGTGAACAAGGTTTGAAGATGTCTTACACATTTTTCGCGCATGAATGTAAGCAGCTGTCCACAGCACAAGTTTCCTCTATTCTTACGTGAAATGAAGCCAGAGTCGCGGATGGAAGCTGCTGCTGATGTTGATGACACAAAATTTTATGAAAACGCAGATGATTTCCAGAAAAAAAAAAATCGCTTTTAGACAATAAAAATACTTTCGTAGAAAACGATCCCATCTGCCATTGCTTTCCCCAAGTCTACGTAAATGAAGATCTCCGCGCTGGCCTATGCATTGCAAACGCATCGCGCACGTACTAGTAGAAATCGCATGACAAATTCATTTTTTTCAGAACGAGAAAAGTGGAATTTGTCATGCTGGTACAAGTTGTGAGTAAATATTTGTCGTGCCTGACTACATATATACCACGACTACGATACTTTTGCAATGCATATAGACCGCATCCCACGGATTTTTCCGTCCTGCGGCAATCCCTATATGGCGTTCTCAATTGTTACATTCTCAACTGTTACATGGATTTGTCATGCAAAATTGTCATCAGCATCTACGTGATCAAGGTACTCCGCATGACAAACTGCCCAAGGGCTAAACAGCATTATAATCCGCTCCAAATTTGTAATGCAAAACGCGCAATCTTCCCGCTTTCCCTTTTGCTATTCTTGCATGACGAATTCATGTAACAGTTGAGAATGTAACGTTTGAGAACGCCATACCCTGCGCTAGATGGATGTGGTTCCGCGCCGCTTTCGACAACCCCTGCTGCTTGATGAAGGGCCAGTGGACCGTGTAGGTGCCGTATCCAAGAAAAAAACATTGTAGGTGTAAACTATTTTGAAGGAACAGCATTACAAATTTGTCTGGCATGACAGCAAAAACGTGTCATGCGCAGATAGTACGTGAAAACGCCCTTTCATGGACCATACGACGCATGCCAAGCATGACAGACGCAATAGTCTTGCATGTTGCGCACCACAAATTTACACTAACAACGTTTTTTTCTTGGATATCCCGTGGATTGCCTCCCCCTGGATGCTGGTCGGATCGGTTATTTTTTGCAGCAGTTATTACAATGAAAAACGCCCCCACCCCCGAACTTGGGAGGAGCATTTGTTTTGCAAACCTTTGCAAGTGAAACCTTCGCCCCCTTGCATCTATCAGCATCACAGATTTCCAATCGTGAATAGAAAAAATTTGTATTGCGCAAGATCCCAGCAAGAGCGACGCTTGTCATGCAAGCAATGCGATATACGCCTAGTAGACTCTGCATCAAAAAGATTCATAGTCCTTTCATGCATGACAAAAATTTTTCATTTGGAAACTTTGCATCACAAATTATTGCAACTTTGGGGGTGGGGGCATTTTTCATTGTAATAGCAGTTGCTCGTCATTCACATTCTTCATCGTGTGTCCCTGGTTCGCGCGGACAAGGTACTCGGTGTTTACGCCCGCTTCTCGGATCATCGAAAAACGAGACTTACTGTCGTAGTAACACACCGCCATGACTTGCTCGATTGTGTGCTTCCCCTTGAAATCCTTGGTTTTCATGATGGAACTGAGTTTCGCGTACTATCGAATGCAAATATGTCTGGGTCTGGAAAGTTGTTGTAACTTGTGATGCTACAACCTCTAGATTCCAAAAAAATCTGTATTGCATGACCAGCAAGAGGCCTCCAGTTTGGGCTACGCGGGGAGTGCATTTGTCTTGCGGAATAGGCATCAGGAAGCCTGCTAAGAATCTGTGATGCTAGGCCATGCATTACAGGCATCATGGGTCATGCAAAACATGCATTACATACCTAGCGCTTTCCAAACCCAGACATTTTTGCATTTGATACGTACCCGTCCTTCCGGATCTCCAAGTTGTTCGTGCCCGCAGCATGGCGGAGCATGTGGGCCAGGGATTTCGAGATCTGTGGATTGTTGTTGTTGCGAGGGTTCGTTTGTCCTTGTAATGTATGAGGGCAGTAGTTGTACTCAGCATGACAGAGACCACAGACTCTGGAGGAGGAGAACAGCAAAGCAACATCAAGATCAAGTTCAAGCTACTGTGAAGATTTATTTATTTCATTTTCATGCCATATTTATACTATCGTCTGCACCATCACAAACTTCGACTACTGCCCCTTGATGCAAATAAGAAAGAAAGCATAGTAAACTCAATAAACTGAATATCTGTACTGTGACGTCCATCTGATTGGCCCGGCATTGGTCGAGAATCGGGCGCAGAATGTCGGGATTTCCGTTTTTCATCAAATCCCAGAATTCATTGGCCTCCTGGTCGTCGCCATTCCGATTGCTGTTCTTGCTGTGCCCGCCCTGCGGGGTTCCCCGGGAGTTCTTGCTGTTCTTATTCTTCATCTTCTTTTCGGTACCAAAATATTAGTGGATAATTTCCACACGCCTTGATGAATGTCGACGCTCGGAGCAGTGGGAACAAGAAAACGAACCGCGTTTATTGGAGGTTGTTATTTTACGGAGGACTCCTCGAACTACCTGCGAAGAGAGGAAAAAAAAAGCCGCTCCGGTACTGAGTCGCCGTGGTCGCTTGGACTGGTCAAGGAGGCGGGTCGTTGTACTTACTAAGTGGTCGCTGCTTGTGGACGAGGGGGTCGGGGAGGGGTAAGAAGGTCCGTCGTGCAGCTCCCGACAGGCGACCTCGAGGGTGGATTTTTACAACACCACTGCCATGAAGACGATGCTGATGTTCCGGAAAATCAGCACAAGTCGGAGAGTACAAATGCTGATCACAGGGCCGCGGAGGTTATTTCGCCTAGCACCAGCAGTAGAGCCGATTTAACAATAAAATCGGGATTTTCAACAACATCATGGTCGCGTCATTTCAAATTTTCTCGGGTGTACATTTTGACTTTCCTTTAGTCAAAAATATTAAGGGTAACATTCTCTCCAATAAACCAAGACCCGTTTAGCCATCATCTTCCTTGTTTATTGCCGTATTTATTTATTTGTAGGCAATTATTTATTCAGCGGCCAAAAAGGACAAAGCAGGAGGTCTTGCCTCCAATAGAAGGCCGCCAACAATAAAGATCGATGTGGAAAGGCCGCAGAACAAGTTTGCGAGCCGAGCCGAGCGGTCGTGGGTGAAAAATGTTGAAAAATGATGCCAAAACCAGTAGAAGGAAACTATTAAAAGGTGAACATCAAGAAGAAAACCATAACCACACCGAGGATAAATTGTTGGGAACTACAAAATACTTCCGCGAGTAGAAAGCTTTTTTGTTTTACAGGAACCAGGAGAAATGACAAGCTGCTCTGAGGCGATAAAAAAATCGCACCCGTGGTAGTTATGCCCTTTGTGCACGAGGCAAGAGCTACTGACGTCTTATACTCCACACCAGCCGCGTCCTGAAAAACTGGAAGGCTATTTCGTTTCCCTTCTATATGCCTCCCAGTACGAAGCTACCAATACCATCCGCTACTGAGAAGATAGCATCTTAGCTTCCTTGCGATCTTCGCCATTAGAGTTAGAGTTGCTGTAAGTAGCCGCGCTCTTCTAGTACACAAAAGGATGCTGATGGAGCCACCACAGAAAAAAAAAACAAACTTGGTGAACAATAAATGAGGTCTTAGAGCTACAACGCACTCTAGCAGAAGTTTAGTCAACTACAGATGAAATGACTCTACTACAACTCAGTCTTATCTTTACCGTCCTATTGTGTCTATTCTTTTCGTACGAAACAAAAAATTACTTTACACTACGGCTTCGGCTTTAAAATTTAATGCCAGAGAAGCCTACGTAGGTTTTGGCCTGCAGAGTTGTACACATGGAAATTTAAAACGTTGGTCAGTAGGAAGTCGCGGCCGTCGAAGGCACGCAAGTAGTAAAAAGATGACTTCGGTCATGCAAATAAAGAACAGAGCTTTATTTTTAGTAATTACAACTCGGGCAAGGAACCACATGTAATCATCTTCCTTGCGGTTTGGATTTCAAGTTCCGGTCGAGTAATTTTTTTCATGCAAGCTGGTAAATATTGAAGAAACTGAGATCCAGAAATTGCTCGATCTTCTTCGTCGAGAATGTGAACAGGGCGCCAATACTACAGCAGGAGACTTCGGCATTTTAGTAATGTCGTGACAGCTGCACGACAAGCTTTTTTTCCTGAGCTTCAAAGGTTCTACTTGCACTGCCTGTTTTGTCGATCTTAGAAGTTCTTCACATCATCTCCTCATAATTTTGTACAGTTTTTTTAGTAGTTCTAGTCACCACTATAGATACATCAGGAGTTTTGAAGTAGACTTTTGTGGTGGATCATCCTAAACGGGAATTGCACTTTTGTGATGGATTCAACACGACCTACTGTAGGACTGCAGGCAATATGCCAGTGCAGCTCTTACTTTACGTCCATAAGAAACAACTTCTTCGAAGCGGCACCAAGCAGCTGATGCGCGTTCGTTCTACGTGATATTAGCTTGTCATACGAGGTGATCGTGATATATTAAGCTCTTCAGTTTACACGAAGGAAATAATTATAATAATACAAAATCTGGCCCGGGCCTCCGTATAAATATAATCTATAGGAGGCCTCTACTAAAATAATTCTAAACGAATGTGCTTAGAAGGTCTCGTCTAGAAGCTTCGTGTAACAGATTCAACGCTTCCCCTGTATCTCTACGCCATACCGTCGCGCAGAATGTTATGCTGCACGCCCTGGCGAGCAGCAGAACAAAGCCGCGCATCAACTTCAGTGCGATTCTGATACAGAAAGCGTCGACAAGCTCGACTGCCCCTGTTTTCACGCCCGAAAACAGGGATCAACTCCTCGGCCATCACTTTCCGGCATGGCAAAAGTGATGGCAAAAAGCTTCCTGGCCATCCCTTTGCCTTCGCTCGGGCAAAAGTGATGGCCGGGAGCTCCTTGGCCATCACTTTTTGCCCTTGCTTTTCGCTCGGGCAAAAGTGGTGGCCAGAAGCTCCTCGGCCATCACTTTTTACTCGGGCATGGGGCGCGGGCTCCTTGGCCGTCACTTTCGTTCCGGCCGGGCCAAAGTGGTGGCCAAGAGCGCCTCCTGGGTGGGCCATCGTTTCCGGTCGCCGGGCAAAGCGATGGCCCAGGGGTCCTTGGCCATCACTTCGCGGACGGGCGGCGCAAAAGTGACGGCCGCGAGCCCCTTGACCATCATTTTTGGCCATCACTTTGCCGGTCGGGTCCAGCAAAAGTAATAGGCAGGCGCTCCTCCTGGGCCACCATTTTCCGGCCCGCCGGGCCAAAGCGATGGCCAAAAGCCTCCCCTGGGCCATCACTTCCCGATCGGGCAAATGTGATGGCTGGCCAAGAGTTCCATGGCCATCAATTTTCGCTCGCTCAGGCAAAATTGGTGGCCAAGAAGAGCTCCTTGGATGGGCGCCGCTTTTGGACATCACTCTCCGGTCGGGCAAAAGTAACGGCAGGGAGACCCTTGGCCATCAATTTCCCTTCGGGCAACCAAAAGTGACGGCGCGGCCAGGAGCCCCTTGGCCGCCACTTTTCTTTCGGGCAAAAGTGAGGGCTGCGAGCTCCTTGGTTGCTTGGCCATCACCTTCCGGCCGGGCAAGAGTGAGGGCCAGGAGCCCCCTGGCCATCGCTTTCCGGTCGAGCAAACGTTACTTCCTGTCCCCCCCGGCAAAAATGGCGGCCAGGAGTTCCTTGGCCATCCATGACCTTCCGCCCGGGCGAGCAAGGTGATGGCCACCCAACAGCAGCTCCTCGGCCACTACTTTTGGCGGCCATCGCTTTGCTTCCGGTCGGGCAAAAGTGAGGGGCGAAAGCTCCTTGGCCATCACTTTCCGATCGGGCAAAAGTGGTGGCCGAGAGCTGCTTGGCCATCACTTTTGGCCATCGCTTTTCGCCCGGGCAAAAGTGATGGACAAGAGCTCCCCGGCCATCATTTTCCGGCCGAGCAAAAGTTGTGGCCAAGAACTTCGCAGCGATCACGTTTGGCCACCACTTTCCGGGCGGGCAAAAGCGATGGTCAGAAGCTCCTAGCCCAGCCGGGCGGGGCAAAAGTGACGGCGAAGGGCTCCTTGGCCATCACCTCCGGTCGAGCAAAGTTGAAACTAACTTTTGGCCATCACTTTCCGGCCGCCCGGGCAAAAGTGGTGGCCAAGAGCTTGGCCCCCACTTTCCGGTGGGCCCGCCGAGCAAAACAAAGTGGAGGCCAAGAGCACTTTCGGGACGGACAAAAGTGATGGCCCGGGGCTCCTTGGCAATAACTTTTGGCCATCGCTTTCCGGCCGGGGCGGGCAAAAATGGTGGCCAAGAACTCCGCGGCGATCATTTTTTGCCACCAGTTTCCGGGCGGCCAAAAGTGATGGCCAAAAGCTCCGTACCTTGCCCGGCCGGGCTGGGCTGGCAAAAGTGACGGGCGGCGACGGGCTCCTTGGCCACCACCTCCGGTCGGGCAAAAGTGAAACTTTTGGCCATCACTTTCCGGCCGGGCAAAAGTGGTGGCCAGGAGTCGGGCGAAAATGATGGCCAGGAGCTGCTGGGGCATGCATCGCTTTCCGTTCGGGCAAAAGTGGCCACTTTTCGCTCGGGCCAAAGTAATGGCCAAGACCCCCCTGGCCGCCGATCACTTTTGGCTGGCAATCGCTTTCCTGTCGGGCAAAAGGGATGGCCAAGAGCTCCCTGGCCACCCATCGCTTTCCGGCCTGGCAAAATTGATGGCGAAGAACTCCTCGGGCGTCGCCTTTCGGCCGGGCACACATGATGGCCAAGAGCTCCCTGGCCGTCAAAGTGGCCATCGATCGCCTCTCGGCCGGGCAAAGGTGATGGCTGGCCAAGAGCCTCGCGGCCATCGCTTTTGTTTCGCTCGAGCGAAAGCGATTGTGGCTATCGCTTTCCGGTCGGGCAAGGGTGGTGGCCAAGAACTCCGCGGCCACCACTTTTTGCCATCGCTTTCCGGTCGGGCAAAAGTGATGGCCAGAAGCTCCCTGGCCATCACTTTTCGGCCGGGCAAAGAAAAACAATGGCGACAACTCCTTGGCCATCGCTTTAACTTTTGCCCATCACTTTCCGGATGGGCAAAAGTGGTGGCCAAGGGCTCTTTCCTTGGCCATTACTTTTGCCCAGCGCTTCCTTTCCTGTCGGGCAAAAGTGTTGGCCAGTAGTTCCGCTGCCACCGCTTTTCGCCCGGGCATGCGAAAGTCCTCGGCCATCACTTCCGGCCATCGCTTTCCGGTCGGGCAAAAATGATGACCATGAGCTCCCTGCTCATCCATTTCCGGTCGGGCAAAAATGATGGCCGAGAGCTCCGTGGCCAGCCATCGACTTTCGCTCGTTGGCCATCACTTTCGTTCCGGGCGGGCAAAAGTGGTGGCCAAGAGCTCCCTGCGCGGGCCATCGCTTTTGGCCATCGCCTTCCGGCACGGTCGGGCGAAAGTGATGGCCAAGAGCTCCCTGGCCGTCATTTTCGGCCATCACTCAGCCACTTTCTTTCTTCCCGCGCGGGCAAAAGTGTTGGCCAAGAGCTCCGCGGCCACCACTTTCGGGTCGGGTCGCGCAAAAGTATTTGCCAAGTGCTCCATGGCCATCACTTTTGCTCATCACTTTCCGGTCGGGCAACCGAGCAAGAGTGATGGCCAAGAGCTTCCAGGCAGTCACCTTTTGCCACCTCTTTCGTTCCGGCCGGGCACGCTTTTGCCTCTCGG